ATAGAGGTGGAAAATCACAACAATCGTAATAAAAAGGGAGAGAGAGAGAGAGGGATAAACATTTACCGGTGGTTGGTTATGAAATGTCCCGTCAAACTGCACGACGTGCGATGAGCCTCGGGGTCAGGGAGAAGCTGAGGTAACTGTCCGCCTCGATGAAGCTCTCTCTCGCTCTCTCTGCCGTCGCCGTGCACCGCCCGCCCGGCGCCAGGCCCGGCCCGGCCCGACCCGACCAGACCCGACCAGACCAGACCCGACCCGGCCCGACCCGACCAGACCCGGCCCGACCAGACCCGGCACGGCCCAGGCAACGGCCCTCGGGGCGCCCCGCAGCCTCGCGCCGTCTCCCAGGTGACGGGGGGGAGGGGGCGGTTGACGGTTATTTTTCGATTTGAAGCTCTCTGTCTGTCAGTCTGTCTGTGTCTCGCGCCGGAGCCGCCGCCGCCGCCCGCCCTTCGCGCGCGACAGCTGGACTGACTGTCAGTCAGGGGAGACGGGACGCCGGGCGGCGGGCGGGCGGGCGGGCGGGGAGAGAGAACGCCGTCCGCTGTGAGTACCTCAGGAGGAAGATGGAGGAGGGACGAGACGCCCAATTGAAGCCAAAGGCAAACGAGCGGCCGAGTGAGGCTGACAGTCAGGTCAGTCCGGGAGACGGACGGCGGTGGGAGCGCTGTCCGCTGTGACTCCCTCAGGAGGAAGATGGAGGGCAGACTGGCAGCAACCGCTCCAGCGGCCGAGGTTTGAGTCACACGCCCACACACACACACACCGCCCGTCAGGCAGACAGACAGCGGCCCCTCCCGCCCTGGGGGGAGAGGGGGGGGAGAGGGGGGAAAAAGAAAACGGCCAATAATAACACAACCCGCCCCGCGGCACAGCTTTCCTCGCGACGGCCTGTGCTCCCCACAGCCTGGCGCCCCCCCACAGCCTGGCGCCCCCCCCCCCGGCCCCCGGCCCCCCCGCCCGCACTGTAGGTTATTGTGTAAAAGCCACAGACGGACCCGCACACGAACACCAGACCAAGTCCCCCCCTGTGACCGTCCCGCCCTCCTCCCCCACCATCGGGGGCCGCACTCTCAGCCACTACCCCCCCCCACTCCCCCGCTCGGTGCCCGGGGACACTGCCCGGTGTGAGGCGCACTGGGGACCCGCAGCGCGCGGAGAAGGGCCGTCAAGGACAGACAGCACTTCCCTCCCACCGGGGCTCAACCAAACAGATCCCTCCATGACAGCACAACTGCCACATCAATGACCCTTTCCATTGGATACAGCGCCCGATCATGTTGTCCAGACGCCTCAAAGCGCTTCACAGGATACAGTGCAAAGTGGATCGACTGTGTCTTTTGTAAGTGGAAAGCGACAGCCGATTGCACGCAGCGGCGTCCCCGTAAACAGTCGTGGAGTGAGTGACCGGTTTTATTGGGGGGGATTGTCGGCCACAACACCGGGAGAGAGAAACCCCTTCTCTTTTCGAATAGCGCCACAGGACGAACAGGAAGATGGGACCTCGGTTTGACATCTCATCCGAAGAACAACATTAAGGTTCAAAGTGTATTTGTATTTGGAGGAATGCCAGTGTATATGCGGTTGATTGTGGGCTTCTTTTTGTGAACTGTGAAATGTTGGATATTTTGGCTATGCAATAATGCATTATTATTGAGGATATAGAATATTATAAGAATCCTTGCATTTGTATCAAGGATTCTTATTATCCTCATTATATACAAAATCCTGCACAAATAATGTACATATGGTAGGCAATGATTTTTATATTATTGTAATCAGCAGTCAATTTATTTGAGGCAAATTGTATTTGCATTGAGCTGAGGCATGCATTTGGGACTACACACATTGGTGTTACATTGTATAACGATTAAGATAAAACACTATGTGTACTGATGCAAACCTCAATAAACATTGAGGAATGGCCCTATCAATATTAGGGTAAATATTGGTCCAAAGCTCTATGTCATTGATACACTACTTCTCTGTACTTGGAAGCAAAGCTCTACTTTGAGTTGATGTTCGATGTATGTTAATGCGCGCTTCTCTTTACATATATATATATGGATCTCAATGTCCATTGATGCAAAGCGACATGAATATTGATGTAAACTTCCATGTTCGTTGATGCAAACTCTTTGTCTTCTTCATGTGCTTTCAACATTTAATTGTGACTGATTAATCATTTGCTAATGTAATTCCCAAAAATATGAATGAAACATTAAAGTAAAAAAGACCAATGTGGTGGAAATTAAGAATAAAGATTTGAAGAGAATATTATTATTATAATTGCTGGCTAAGAATGGAAAATATACGATAGATACCTTCCTTTCCTGTAAGCCTCCAATTTGTATGTAGAATTAGGACTATTTTACGGAGGCAGGTGTTTCTATTTGGATGAGCTTGCCAGTGAGCCTGAACACAGCTTAATTGCATTTGCCAAAGCCAAGATACAGTATTTACATACCACGTGTCCTTCAGTAATCCTTCCCTAACCTCTCTGATTCCCCTCTATGAACTGCCTAATCCTACCCTTCTGCCATCCACGCAAATTAAATTTATCTTGCACTAGCTAACTGAAAATAGTTTAAAGCAATTGTAAATTAGAATTATTACCCGTGGCTCATTATCACAGTTCAATGTATCACCGAACAGTAAATTTTAATATGTCATGCGGGAAGACATTTACCACAAAATGTCAGACAGATTCTGAGTTGGAAATAAAAAAACAGGAAAGAGGGAGAACTAACACGTTACAAAATCCTCTCTCGACCATTTCAATATATCAGTCATTTGGAACTGAACCTCGGATGATGAGCTTTAGACATTCACCAAAGATAAGAAGGCCGACTACCTTATGATACATTTAATATAATTAACATGTTATTTTTTCAAAAATAAAACAATTCTAAATACAAGAATTGAAAAATTCCTCTCCATAGCAGCTTCGCAGATTTTTGCAAGAATCAGTGGTTAAACAAGCCTATGTTCCTGAAACTCCCTTCTCTTTTCAAATCATGCCACGGGATCTTTAACATCCATCTGAACAGGCAGATAGGACCTCCGTCTAATGTCTCATCCGAAGCATGGCATAGAATATACTGTAAAGTGAATTGACTGTATATTTGTGGGCGAACGCGGCAGCCGATTGCGCACAGCAATGTCCCGCAAATAGTCGTGGATTGAAAATGACCAATTTATTATTGTGTTTGGTTTTGGAGGGATTATTATTAGGCTCTGTGTGGAGTAAGGAAACTTGCCCAAGGTTTCGCCCTGTACTCACACGCGCGCCACGGCAGTACTCACACACACACACCACGGCAGTACACACACATACACACCACTGCAGTACACATAGACTGTTCAGCACCTTGGGATGTCCTCCTGACATAAAAGACGCTTTACAAATTTAATTTTGCTGCTGTTGTTGTGGTGAATTAATCTAATTTCTGTTTCGGAGCATGAGTTTCCACAACATCAACCAACATTAAGGCAACTCACAACAACAACAAGATTACACTTACACAGTCCGTTTCACTTTAGGAGGACGTTCCAAGGTGCTGTATAGTCAGGGATTTGGACCCGGGCAGTGGGGTTGGGATCAGGAGGACTGAGGGGCAGGGAGTATACCCAATATATAATATACATATATCATAATATATATTTTATATATATACTATACAGTAGACATAAGATATACAATATATATTGTATATATAAATAGTAATCTGCATTTGATATAGTACCTTATGACTTTGAGACGTCTCAAAGTGCATCACAGAATATACTATAAAGTGTAGTGACTGTGTTTTGTGGGTGATAAGTAAGTTTACTTGCTCCACACGCCTCTGTTAACCTAACAGAAGGATCCCAGTTAGACGATTGGCGGATCACTTTCCGGGGGTAATAATCCCTTTAAAAAGAAATTGGTCCCTCAATCTACCACTGTTTGTGGGACAATGCTGTGTACAGTTGGCTGCCGCATTTCGCCCACAAAATACCCAGTCAATTCATTTACAGTATATTCTGTGAAGCGCTTTGGACGTCTCGAAGATGTGATAAGGCGCTGTATCAACTACAAGGATTATTATTATTAATGTATACGATCCATATACCCAAATCTGAGTCTGAAACTGAGGCCGTAGGGGCCCGTTTTCCACTTGTTCACAGCTTTACGATGATCAATCATCTGATCAGCTCCGCTCATCAATCATCTGATCAGCTCCGCTCATCAATCATCTGATCAGCTCCGCTCAGGGCCCTGTGTACCTTTCCCTGTCCTCAGCCAAAGGCAATGAAGCACATCGCGGACCTCCGTCAGTCACTGTGATGGTGTCGGTGCTGTCAATCAGCCTCAGGACAAACGGCTGGTGTGGGCGGTAACTTATTGACGGCCAACCAATAGGGACAAAGATCAACAAGAACTGGACCAATGAGACCTGTGGGCGGGCTCTGCTCGGGTCGGTCTCCTAGCAACAGCGTCCCCAACACACACAGCGAGGAGCTCCCAGGAGACAGCACAGACCAGCACAGACCAGCAGAGCACACACAGCACAGACCAGCACAGCACAGACCAGCAGAGCACAGCACAGACCAGCACAGCACACACAGCACAGACCAGCAGAGCACAGACCAGCAGAGCAGAGCACACACAGCACAGACCAACAGAGCACAGCACACACAGCAGAGCTGGGCGGTGGGTGGTGGTGGGTGGGTAGGTAGGTGGGTGGGTAGGTAGGTGGGTGCTGGGTGGTGGGTGGGTAGGTAGGTGGGTGCTGGGCGGTGGGTGGGTAGGTAGGTGGGTGCTGGGCGGTGGGTGGGTAGGTAGGTGGGTGCTGGGTGGTGGGTAGGTAGGTAGGTAGGTAGGTAGGTGGGTGGGTGGGTGGTGGGTGGGTGGGTAGGTAGGTAGGTGGGTGGGTGGTGGGTGGGTGGGTAGGTAGGTAGGTGTGTGCTGGGTGGTGGGTGGGTGGTGGGTAGGTAGGTAGGTAGGTGGGTGGGTGGGTAGGTAGGTGGGTGCTGGTGCTGGTGGTGGTGGTGGATGGAGCCCCAAACGGAGCCCCTAATCGACCTCTCTAAATACTATGGCAAGAAAAACCTCAACAAGTTCTCGTTGGAGCAAGAGCTGAAGGAGTTCATGCTGTTTATGAAGAGGATCAATAAAAGCAGTGCCGGTCCCTTCCATTCCATGGGCCCAGACCACGACGCCTACATTCGGAGGTAAGTCAGCAGAGACATCCCACCTTCCCTTCCCTTTCCTACAGAGCTGTTGCAGACTTTCAGGATAATAATCTCTACTGTACTTCTCTAATTGCCTTTAATGATCATCTTATTCAGTTTTATCTTTGATTAATAATAATCATAATAATATTTTATTATTATCTTCATTTAAAGCATGACCTTTAGGGTGGTTTAGAAGCAGGGCCCCAACAGCCTGGGCAGGGCGAAACCTCAGGCACGTTTCCTTACTCCACCCTCCTCTGTTCACCTCGCAGTAAGTAGGAACCCGGTTGTTAGTCGATTGGTGGATCGCTTCTCCGGGGATAATAATCCCTTCAAAAAACAATTGGTCACTCAATCCATGATTGTTTGTGGGACACTGCTGTGCGCTATTGGCTGCCATGTTTCGCCCACAAAATATACAGTCAATGCACTTTAAAGTATATTCTGCGAAGGGTATAGCAATCAATCAGTCGATCACTGTAGTAAGGTGCTGGGAATCTTAGATACAGAGACAATAAAACAAAGAGTGATAGTAACATTTCAGTAGTAAGTCCTCTGTTCATTAATAGCAATGTGTGACGTAACCATTATTTTGATTGTCATTTATCAGCGCAAATATACTGTTCAACATATGGAACAAGTATAAACATCGATTACCTCTTCATTTTTACCATGAACAATTGCTGATGGTGGGAGATTTTCTTGCACAGCTAAAGGTAAATCAATTTGAATCAGTTCACTAAGACCATCAGTTGGCATCTCTCATGTTGACGAATAGGTATTATGGTCTCTCATGTTGACTAACACTTATGTGTTATGTGCTTTGGTTCTTCAGTACTTGAATGTGACAATGTCGGGTTGAAACACTCCTCAAGGTTGTGGCTGATGATCTTTGGCCTTTTTGTCTTTCTAAAGATGATTAGTCTTTGCTTATTAATAAGATATTTATTACTCTAACAGTTCTGATATTTCACAGAGACATGTTCAGATGAACAGAATGTAAATAAGACAAGGGAGCAGGCGAGTACTGATTAAGATTGAAGGGCTGGGGGTAGAACTTGAGGCAAATTCTTTCTTTATCTTATCATTCATCCAGGATTACACAATTCGTTCATTCCTACAACTCAACGTAAAATGTCTGAAGACTGATAACATCCCTGAATAATGGAAAACATTGCTTTCATCTCCAGGCTTTGTTCATTATCTTATCTTTACAAATCTGTCTGCTTTCTCTTATTTTTGGTCAGCCGGGTGACTAACACATGCAGAAACCCATCACCGTTGCTTAAGAGTCTCCAAACCAAGCTGAGGTTTCCATATATCCCAACTACACATGAAAATCCCAGAGATAGATTGTTGGAATGTGCTCTCTCTCTCTCTCCCTCTCGCTGGAGGGACTCATCCTGTTTACCTATTTCTGGAGAGTATTAGGCGCAGGTTGACAAGCAAGGCTTGGGGGGACTCCAGAGTTTGGGTTGGAGTAACTGCTGGAGTCTAACCAGTTAAACCTACATAGCTTGCCGTTATTTGCTTTCTCCTTCCCTCTAAGTGGATCACAACTAGGTTTTTATGTCTAGTCATTACCAAGTGTGAAACCAGACCATATAGACTGTGGGGGTGCTACAATTGTGTGTAATTTTTCTGTCATTTTGATTTTTTATGAATTAATGAATTGCCTTGCCCCCTCCTTCCTCATCTTTAGAGTGTGCATAAAGAATTTCATCTTCGGCCTAGTTTACTACTTTTGTTATTTTTACGTTTTTTTATCATATTTGTTAGGTCAGGGTATTAAGGGATATGGGCAAGGGTGGGTAATTGGACTTGAGGTACAGATCAGCCATGATCGTATAGAACGGTGGAACAGGCTTGAGCGGCTGAATGCCCCACTCCTGTTTCTACGTTATTTTTGCCTCCAGTCACCTCCCCTTCCCCTTGGCCAGGCGGCGTCTTGTTCTGCCACTGTCAAGTGCTGTGGGATGCTACCATTATTTAATATAATAATATATAAATGCAAGTTGTTGTTGTTGTCTCATGACCTTGAGATAGAGCGGGGGAAAATTCAAAGTTCTGCCCCTGTGACTCTTTCTGGAAAGTGTATGTGCTTGTGCAGAGGTCAGGTTAGGACTAGGCTCAGTTGTGAGGTATTCTACAGTCAAGAACTTGATTTGACCTGTCGAGGCCAAGATCACTTGGATGAGATAATAGAGGAAAACCATCGGTCGGAGACGCATAATGCACAATGAGTTAGTACCTTGAAAGGAGGAGAACAACAACACATTATATTTATACAGCGCCCTTCACATCAGGAGAACGTCCCAAGGCACTGGACAGTTAGGGATTTGGACCTGAATCCAGGGATCGGGGTTCAGGAGGGGTAAAGAGCAGGGAAGGGTTGGGGTAGGAGGGTGGCCGAAGCACAGGTGATGAGGATTTGAGACGGCCCTTGAAGGAGGCAAGGAAGGGAGCGAGGCGAAGGGATTGTGGGATGGAGTTCCAAAGGGTGGGGGCAGAGAGGCTGAAGGCCCGACCACTGATGGTGGTGCAAGAAACACAACTTCTTCTGGGGTAAAAACATTTCTCCTGCAAACAAGCAATCAAACATTTGGATATATTTATGACATTTCCAAATAAAAAAAAATTTAATTTCACGTTTCATGGAAAAAGTTAGCGTTCTTTACATTTTAGATAGATTTTTTTTAATCACGTGAACTTAAAGTTAAGCTTCTGTCTGCGTGGAACGCGTTTGGTTGCAAGGTGATGGAATGAACTGTTCACAGAGTTTCAGTTGTGTACGCACATCTCCCTGGGCAGAGAGGAAGTCTTGTCGGAATAATTTCCTCCATTGTATAGACAAACTGTACAGCTACAATACTTGAAACTCCTGCAGGATTGGGATGACTGTTCTCAGGGCAGGAAGTGGGTGCAGTCAGAGTTTCCTATCCCTGCTTACACATCCCCAACAGAAAGGCACAATCTGATTCTCAAACCCTGGAGCAATTGTTTACAAGTTCTGCCTCCAGTAGAATTGTTCAGCTGGGCATCGGTAAAAATGTTACCAATATTTTTTCATAGTTATGTCTCTCAGGTTATACTCGCTTTTCGAATCGCTTCTTCCAGGCTGCCGCGTTTCGCCCACAAAATATACAGTTAATTCACTTTAAAGTATATATTCTGTGAAGAGGTTTGAGACGTCTCGAAGATGTGGTAAGGCGCTACATCAAATGCAAGGATTATTATTATTATGACTAAGTTGTTGAGTTAGTTGATCTACACTCTGGTTTCAGTGCACTTGGGCTAGAGAAGTGAAAGAAATCACCAAGCATTCCTACCTAGATTGCTTTTCAAATCTCCTTCTGCTGATGTGTTGATGCCTGGTGACATTTATCCCCCCATCCCCTCTCCAGTCAAATACTTGGCAATAATCCGGATTCAGACAATGAACAGCTTGTGAAATCAGACTTTAGCATGAGTACTGCTTTCAAGGGAGAAAAGAGAAGAAGAGAAAATCACTACCAATAATTGTTGGCACGGATTATTTTAGAGCAGTTCTGTATTGAGTGTTACTGTTTGCCCTCAGGAATATAGGCTGGCCTTGTGGCAGTGTTATGGCAGATACTTACAGCAGTTCAACATTGACCAGATCTCCATTGACGAAATCACAGAAATAGACCAATTTAAGAGCATCTTCTTTTCAAGTGGACTTGACGCAGAGAACACTGGTTTAACAGTATGTACAAACACTTTAATGTTTTCAAGATGAGAAATGATGAATTAATCCTTATATTCTTTGAGTTAAAGTTTAATCAGTTATAGATTAATATATTTTCTTCAGTTTTTGCCTTTTGTTTTTGATCCAATGTTATAACCTGGTAGGATGAATTTCACCTGAATGATATCAGGGCTTAAAGGGTTACATAGAAACATAGGAACAAGAGGAGGCCATTCAGCCCCTCGAGCCTGTTCTGCCATTCTGCGTATAAGATCATGGATTCACCTTGAATCAAAATGGACTTGGGGAGGTTTAAAAATATCCTGTGCCTTTGCCAAAAGGTCAAAACAAGCAAAGAAAGAATAATTGAAATTATGGCTTGAAAAGATATTTTTAACTAAGTAAAAAGTAATATAATAAATTACCACATAAATTACCACCCGCAGGCAGTCACATTTGGCAGATCTATAGCAAACTCAAAATAAAAAGGTTATAATTCCTAGACCAAGCCAGGTTTCCAACACTAATCTATGATTTAATGTGTTTTTTTCTGTATTCATATTGCTGGAAATGATTCAAAATAGTAAATTGCATTCATATATCCTTTTCCACACCTACAGACACCACGGCAGTTTGACGGCAGTTTGTACAATGTATTTAATAATGTTACAAATATTTGTTAAGTTTTGCAGCCACTGAATACACTATTATTTAGTAGTTTGCACATTGTATATTAGTTTCTCTCACTCTGTTATTCCTTCTTTCACTTTCCTCGATTTCTCCTTTTTACTGGATTGTTTCTGTTTTCTCTTTTCCTTCTGAGTTAATGTCTGTACAGGTTTTTTTCTTTTTCACTCTCTCTTCTGTCTGACTGTTCATCCTTACCTCCTTCCACCAATTAATCCCTTAAAAAAAATGTGGCCACTCAATCCACGACTATGTGTGGGACACTGCTGTACGCAATTGGCTGCCGTGTTTCGCCCACAATATATACGGTCAATCCACTTCACAGTATAATCTGTGGAGCGCTTTGAGACGTCTCAACGACGCAATAAGGTGCTGTATCAAATGCAAGGATTATTCTAGACTATCCAGTGCCTTGGCACATCCTCCCAATGTTAAAGGTGCTATACAAATATAATTTTGTATTGTATTATATTACAAGACCAGAACAGGCATTTTTAAGTTTAGTCAGAAATGGTGGATTAATGAAAGTTAAACTCTTCTTAGGGATATTCAGTATCCCATAGTTTTGTGTCTTCCGAAAAATTAATGCAACTTATTTTTATTTGCTGATTTGTAGTTTCATGCTTTGCAAGGAAAGAGCATTTGCAATTACCAACTAGTAATCGATTCTGATGGAAGCTTGCTGAATCTGGAATCCATGAAAAAGTGCATGAACATTCTTACATTTCTACGGCTGATCATGCAAGTTGTTTTGCCACAAGAACGGCTCTGCTGGCTGATTTACAATGGTACAGTATTACCTTGTGTACTCATTGATTCTTTATATTTATTTCATCAAATCTATACCAATACTTTTGACCAATGTGTATATATTATGTAAAGTATCTAATTGTGGAGTCTGTAGCTTAGTAGTTAACGCATTCACCTTGTAAGCCAGAGGACTCGTGTTCGATTCCCGGGCAGGGTGAAACTTAGGTAAGTTTCCTTACTCCACACGCCAGCAGTAAGTAGGAATCCAGTTGTTAGTCGATTAGTGCATCATATTTCCGCTCTTTAATTTTTCCAAAGAAAAAAATAATAATAACAATTTGGTCACTCAATCCACGGCTGTTTGTGGGACGCTGCTGTGCACAATTGGCTGCTGCGTTTCACCTACAGAATACACAGTCAATTCACTTTACAACATATTCTGTGAAGCGCTTTGAGACGTCTCAACAATGTGATAAGGTGCCATATTAAATGCAAGGATTATTATTATTAATATTTGTTTGATTATTTAGAAACTAGTATTGATGTTCTGAAATGCCATGTCCACATATGATAATCACAAATGAAGTACATTTTCTTGTGTTTGGCTATTATTACTACCATTCCACCACACCAAATTGTGCTATAATATGTTGATCCTAAATATAGTCTATAAAATATAGTGGAATTAGTAGGCTGTCAAAAGGATCCCTTATATGCATTACATGCATTACATACTCTCAATATTTACTTGAATATAGCTGTCATGTTGTGCAAACTTGTTTTTTCATCTTTTTTGTACATAATTTTTTTAATGTTTTGTGTCTTGCCATCATTTGAGACCTTATGTATAATTTACCAAAGACAAAATAGTGCTTAGAATTTCTTGTCAATCAATACTGCAGTTTCTTATGACTTTTCTTATGACTTATGGCTATGGGTAAGAGTGGTGGAGTGGAACTAGTTGGTGGCTCTTTCAAAGATGGGCCAAATCACCTGTTTCTGTGCTGTAAGATTCTATAATTCTAAGAAAGACTTTTTTGAGGTAAAATGCAATGTCTTTAAATTGTAATTAGTAATGTGCTAATGTGTCTTGGTGTCTTTTTAGGTACTATTCACATTTACACTATCTGTAGGCACTTGATGATTTTGGGACATTCTGCTAAGGTAAGGCAACCAAACACTGAGTCTTTCAGTGAGTCTTTCTGATCATGGCAATGTGGGGAAACAGCAGGAAAGTGGGAGGAATAAAAAGGAAATACAAAAACAATAAGAAGTAACATTTACACGGCACCTCTCACATCAGGAGGACAACCCAAGGTGCCGGACAGTCAGGGATTTGGACCCGAGCTGGGGGTTGGGATCAGGAGGGGTGGAGGGCAGGGAGGGTGGGGGTAGGAGGGTAGCCGAAGGCTCGGGTGAAGAGAGGGTCTTGAGTCATGCCTTGAAGGAGGCAACGAAGGGAGCAACGCAAAGGGACTGAGGGATGGAGTTCCAAAGGGGGGGGGGGGAAATAGGTTTACGTAGTTTGCGGTGCACAGACATCATGGAGTCCTGTAGCTCAGTGGTTAGAGCACTCGCTTTGCAAGTGAGAGACCTGAGTTCAATTCCAGGCAGAGGGCGAAACCTTGGGCAAGTTTCCTTACTCCACACAGAGCCTAATAATAATCCCTCCAAAACCAAAAACAATAATAAATTGGTCATTTTCAATCCACGACTGTTTGTGGGACATTGCTGTGCGCAATTGGCTGCCGCGTTCGCCCACAAATATACAGTCAATTCACTTTACAGTGTGTTCTGTGAAGCGCTTTGGGACGTCCTCCCGACGTGAAAAGCGCTATATCAAATGCAAGGATTATTATTATTATAATGTGCTGGATGGTCTCTCTCTGTGCTGAAAATGTCTGTTTCTATGCAATGTGGACAACAATATCAGTTTGAGATAGGCATAGTGGTTTATTCTTTAATTAGATGATATATAAGCAGCAAATACTCAAGTATGAAATTTTCATTAAGAAATTTGTGAAATTATACCAGAACACAGCTACCTAGCAGTTTATTGTTATCCAGGTAATAGGGAAAATAAATCACTATCAAATAATTAGTTTTTATGAAGACATGATAAGGTGCCATATCGAATGCAAGGATTATTATTATCATCAGTTAGAACCAATAAATAACTGATATTTTCTAGTTACCATTAATGCTCATAATGGACACAAAATGACATCTGACTAAAACGCACAACTGTTTTGTTTGCACAGGCCTTTGAGTATTTACTGTGGGCGAGTATCTGCATGGAATCATCGGTCCCACTATTGACAGTTCGCTATCTGAAATGGAGAACAATTCTGTACGCTTCTGTGTGTCAGTGTTACTTTGACTGTCAGATTGACTTACATGCAGAGGTACTGTACCTTAGTAGTGATATAGCAATAAACCACTATCAAATAATTAGTTTTTATGAAGACATGATAAGGCACTATATCGAATGCAAGAATTATTATTGTTATCATCAGTTAGAACCAATAAATGAACTGATATTTTCTAGTTACCATTAATGCTCATAATGGACACAGAATGACATCTGACTAAATCCCTCACAATAAACCATCCACATATTAAATAAATTTTTAATATACAGGTCCCTCGTCCCCATGTCTACAGTTAACACTCTTACCCAATAATAATCCCTCCAAAACCAAAAACAATAATAAATTGGTCATTTCCAATCTACGACTGTTTGTGGGACATTGCTGTGCGCAATTGGCTGCCGCGTTCGCCCACAAATATACAGTCAATTCACTTTACAGTGTGTTCTGTAAAGCGCTTTGGGACGTCCTCCCGACGTGAAAAGCGCTATATCAAATGCAAGGATTATTATTACCTCTTCTCATCTCGGTCGGGTTTTAATCCATCTTTACAAAGCACTTTTATAAGTTAACCTACATGAAAGGTACTATATAAGGTCAAGTTATTGTTTTTACACAACAAACTTGTTTGAATAGTCTTGTAAATATCTGCTCTAATCAAAAATAATAGTTAATAATAGTAATAACTTTAATTTATGTAGCACATTTCATGTAAAAATAAACGTTTCAGTATATACATACTTCCAATTGTAACATACATTAATTTATGAATTCCATGTCTTAATGGAAACAAAGTAAATTATGCTTAATGCAATTTCAACTAACCTTTTGTGTAGCCTTTGTTTTGTGGTACTGAATGTTAAATTCTACAATTTTCTATTTTAAATTAGATATTTGCTCGTCGTTCTTTATGTAAAATTCAAGAATTAAGTCAGCTGGAAAACATGAGCTCCTCAACCATAAACCCTGAAGATGTCAAAATCTTTAAAGAATCTGTTATCAAGGTAAGAAGAACAGCAATGAAAGAATTATATGAAGTGTTTAGCATAGGAACAGGAGGAAGCCATTCAGCCCCTCAAGCCTGTTCCACCTGTACCTCAACTCCAATTACCCGCCTTTGCCCCGAAACACCTCAGACTGGACAATGTAACTGGATCCACAGCCATAATCCACAGGGTTTTGGGGGTGGGAGAGAGAGACTTCCAGATTCCCACTGGCCTTTGGGGAAAAACTGCCCCTGAGTTCACTGCTAAATGGCCTCGCTGTAATGTTAAGACTATGGACCTTGTTCTGGATCCCCCACCAGAAGAAATAGTTTCTGTAGCTACCCTATTGAATCCCTTTATTATTTTCAAAACCTTGCTTAGATCAGCCCTCAACTTTCAAAACTCAAGGGTATACAGACCAAGTTTATGCCACCTGTCCTCATTTGAATTGTTAAGCAATCTGCAATATTACTTTCAATGAACCATGTAATGGGACTGAGAATGTTTGTGTTGGCTTTTTTGAAGATGTCCGTGATTATCTTTAAACGAGCAGTTATTGAGACCAGGAGAAAGCCTAAAGGACTTCTGCGACCCAAACAGAGGGTTGTTTTCAAAGATACTGTGAATGTGAGTTCTGTATTCTTTCATCTCCTGTGGCTTTTGCGTCTGAAGTACTATTCCAGGCAGAGAGAGAGAGAGAGAGCGCATTGCATTCCAACAATCTCGCTCTGGGATTTCCATGTGTAGGTGGGATGCCTGGAAACCTCAGCCTGGTTTGGAGATTTTTAAGCAATGGTGATGGGTCTGACATGTGTCAGTCACCCGGCTGACCAAAAAAAATGTCAAATGCAAGGATTATTCTTATTGAAGATATAATAATATAATAATCCTGGCATTTGATACAGCGCCTTGATCACGTTGTTGAGGCGTCTGAAAGCGCTTCACAGGATACATTGTAAAGTGAATTTGATACGGTCGACTACGCTATCCTCCTCCACCGCTTGTCCTCCCACCTCAACCTTCAAGGCCCTGTCCTTGAGTGGTTTAGGTCGTACCTCTCCCACCATCTTCACTTTGTTTCCACGAATGGCTTTTCCTCCACCCCCCGCACTGTCTCGTGCGGTGTCCCTCAGGGCTCTGTCCTCGGTCCCCTCCTCTTCACCCTCTGTACGCTCCCCCTGTGGTGACACCATCCGCAGACATGGGGTTCACTCCCACATGTATGCGGATGACACCCAACTCTACCTTTCCTCCTCTACCATCAACTCCACGACCCCCGATGTCCTGACAGCTGTCTGTCCGACATCGAGTCCTGGACGAGAGACAACTTTCTTCAGCTCAACGTGCGCAAAACTGAGGCCCTCCTGATTGGCTCACATCAGCGCCTCCGACGTGAAAGATGCTCTATAAATGGAATCCTGTTGTCGTTGTTGTTGAATTGACTGTATATTTTGTGGGCGAATCGCGGAAGCCAATTGCACACAACAGCGTCCCACAAACAGCCGTGGGATGAGTGACCAAATTATTATTGTTTTTTTTTCTTGAGGGATTATTATCAGGTGTATGGAGTAAGGAAACTTGCCCAAGGTTTCGCCCCCTGCAAGGAATTGAACCCAGGTCCTCTCACTTGTGATGCGAGTGCCCTGACCACTGAGCTACAGGACTCCAGACCTTCCTCCTCTAACTGTGCCTACGGTCACCTCCCCCTCCCCCCGGCTCGCCGTCGTGTCCGCCACCGCCAAGCGCTCTGAGACGCTGCCCTGTGTTGTTATTGAATTTGTTCTTAACGTAAGTTGGGTTATTATTGATTGCAGTTACCGTGGCCCCACAATAGCACGGAATCGCTGTTGGCAGAGATGTTTGATGGCAGTGCAGCCCAGTTCCTTGCTATACTCGAGGCCGTGACAAATAGCTACCGGCGTGTGTTACACACAGGCCCCCCTCTCCCTGCTGAGACCGAAGTATATGACGTGTTGATGGAACTGATCCTAGCTGGCGTGGAGATCCTGGCAGGTACAATATCACAGTCTCTGCTCTACAACTTGTCCTAATGTATATAAATTGTAAATGTAATGTGGTGTCTGTCCTGTAGCTCAGTGGTTAGAGCACTCGCCTCACAGGCGAGAGACTTGGGTTGAATTCCCGGGCAGAGCGGAACATTGGGCAAGTTTCCTGACTCCACACACAGCCTCTGTTTTCAAGGCAGAATATAGGAACCTGGTTGTTAGTTGATTGACAGATTGTTGTTGGAGGGTAATAATCCCTTTAAAACATAGTAAAAAATAATAATAATTTGGTCACTCAACCCATGACTGTGTGTGGGACACTGCTGGCTGCCGCGTTTTGCCCACAAAACGTACAGTCAATTCACTTTGCAATATATTTTGTGAAGCACTTTGAGACGTCTCGAAAGATGTGATAAGGTGCTATATCTAATGCAAGGATTACATGGTTATATGCTGCTTACATTGCAGACACTGCAAAATAATTAAACCTACTTGTAACTTGTGTTGCTGTTTCAGGTGGCGGTGGTAATACTCAATATTATATGACTTCCTCCACAAATCCTATTGCTGGAATTGTTGAACTCAAGTCACTTATAGAGATGGCATCTGCAGGTAAGAAAGTCAGCTTTGGGTTAGTATTCCCATCGGTAACAACAGCGATTAGTGTGTGGGGGGGTGGGGGCCGGTGGGGGGGGCAGTGTGTGTGTATGGGGGGGCAGTGTGTGTGTGTGTGGGGGGAGCAGTGTGTGTGTATGGGGGGGGGCAGTGTGTGTGTATGGGGGGCAGTGTGTGTGTGTGGGGGGGAGCAGTGTGTGTGTATGGGGGAGCAGTGTGTGTGTATGGGGGGGCAGTGTGTGTGTGTGTGGGGGGGAGCAGTGTGTGTGTATGGGGGGGCAGTGTGTGTGTATGGGGGAGCAGTGTGTGTGTATGGGGGAGCAGTGTGTGTGTGGGGGGGGGGGCAGTGTGTGTGTGTGGGGGGGGCAGTGTGTGTGTGGGGTGGAGCAGTGTGTGTGTATGAGGGGGCAATGTGTGTGTGGGGGGGAGCAGTGTGTGTGTGGGGGGGGAGCAGTGTGTGTGTGTGTGAGGGGGGACAGTGTGTGTGTGTCATCACCCACGGCCTTGACATTTCCGACCTCAGCATAGTGGACAAGGCCATCTCGGACCAATTTTTCATCTCCTCCTCTCACATCCTTCTCTCCTCCACCAAGCCCTCAACCATCCTCTACTGCCCTTGGAAAAGGCTACCCCCTGAGACCCTCACAAAGGCCCTCTCATCCTCAAACATCCTATATCCCTGGCCTTCCACCCACAGAGATCCTGAAGCCGCCGTCCAGATGCTCCATGATTGCCTCTCCTCCACCTTCAACTCCCTTGTCCCCCTGAAATCCAGGACCATCTCCAAACCCACCCGATCCCCCTGGTACAACAACCATCTCCAAACACACCCGATCCCCCTGGTACAACAACCATCTCCAAACACATCCGATCCCCCTGGTACAACAACCATCTCCAAACCCACCCGATCCCCCTGGTACAACAACCATCTCCAAACACACCCGATCCCCCTGCTACAACAACCATCTCCAAACACACCCGATCCCCCTGCTACAACAACCATCTCCGCTGCCTAAAAACCCAAACCCGCCTGCTCGAGCGCAGATGGCGGAAAACTGGCCTGACAGTTCACCGCCAACTGTGGCTCGAGCATCTCCACAGCTACTGCCGTTCTTTGACTCGTGGAAAAACGGCTTTTACTCCAATATCATCTTGGAGGCTCAACACAACCCAAAAATCCTTTTTTCCACCACCCATTACCTCCTCCGTGGCCCCCCCTTCAGGCCTCCTCAATCTTCACATCAAATGCCAAGTGCGAGGAGGTCATGGACTTCTTTTCTTCTAAAATATTTAACATCCGCCATCGGCCTCACCCACCTGCCCCTTGTCACCCACCACCACACCCTCTCTGTCCCCCTCACCTTCCTCATCATCTGCTCCTACCTCCGCCCCATTCTACATTCCTTCCTCCCCATCTCGCCCTCCTCCCTCTCACCCACCATCACCTCCATGAAACCCACCACCTGCTGCCTCAACCCCCTCCCCACCAACTTACTGGTCACCCAGCTCCCCCTCCTCTGCCACTGCTGGCTGACATCATCAACCAATCCCTCTCCTCCGGATCAGTCCCTGCCCCCCTCAAAACTGCTGTCATCACCCCCCCTCCTAAAATAACCCTCCCTGGATCCCTCAAACCCCAGCCATTACCGCCCTATTTCTAACCTGCCCTTCCTTGCAAAAGTCCTAGAACGCATTGTTGCCAACCAACTTCGCGCACAACTCTCCTCCCTCTTCAAACCCCTCCAGTCCGGTTTCCGCCCACAGTACAGAGACTGCGCTCGTGAAAGTCACAAACGACATCCTCTCTATCTGTGACCAGGGCTCCCTCTGCCTCCTTGTCCTCCTGGACCTCTCCGCCGCGTTCGACACAGTCGATCACCCCATCTTCCTCTACCCCCTTTCCTCCGTCATCCACCTCAGTGGGACTGCACTCGCCCGGTTCGAGTCCTACCTCACAAACCGCCAGCAGTACATCTGCACCAACGGCTTCTCCTCCCGCGCTCTCCCGGTCACCTGTGGGTACTCCAAGGATCCATCCTTGGCCCCTCCTCTTTCTGATCTACATGCTCCCTCTTGGGGGGATGTCATCCGCAGACATGGGGTACATTTCCATATGTATGTAGATGACACCCAACTCTATTTTTCCACCTCTCTTTGCGACCCCCAGTCCCTTGATGTTGTGTCATCTGCCTGTCAGATCTCAGGGGTTGGATGAGCGCAAACTTCCTTCAGCTGAACGTTGACAAGACGGAAGCCATACTCTTTGGCTCTCGTCAACGTCTAAAATCTCATGGCTCTCATGTCCTCCACCTGCCCGACCTCCCCCTAAAACTCTCCGAACTTGTACGAAACCTAGGAGTCAGGTTCGAACCCCAATTATCCTTCCTCCCCCACATCCGGTCCCTCACCAGCACCGCCTTCTACCACCTCCGACGTATTGCCCGTCTCCGCAAATACCTCTCCCCAAAAGCCGCTGAAACTCTGGTCCAGGCCTTTGTCACCTCTCGGCTGAACTACTCTAACGCCCTCCTCACCGGTCTCCCCTCCACTACCATCCATACAGCCCACATCATCCAGAACTCTGCCGCCCGCATTCTCACCCGCACCAAACCCCGCTCCCCGATCCCCCCAGTCCTGGCCCTCCCCCCACCCCCAAACTCCGCTCCCCGATCCCCCCAGTCCTGGCCCTCCCCCCAAACTCCGCTCCCCGCTCCCCCCAGTCCTGGTCAGACTGCACCGGCTCCTGTCCCAGAGAGGATCCATTTCAAGATCCTCACCTCGTATTCAAGTCCCTGCATTCCTCTGCACTCCCCGACCTCTCTGACCTCCTCTCTCCTCAGCACATTACCCGTTGCCTTCGTTCCCCCGGGTCTGACCTCCTCCTCGTCCCCCGAGTCCTCCGCTCCCCCCTCGGTGGCCGTGCCTTCAGCCCCGGTGCCCTGAGGCTCTGGAACTGCCTTCCTCACTCCCTTCCCCTCGTCCCCTCTCTTCCTATTCTCAGGTCTCGGCTGAAGACCTTTCTTTTCGACCGCACCTTTGGTCACCTTCCTCCCCCTCCCCCCTCCCCCTTCCCCCAGGCCCCTACCCCCTCCCTCAGGCCCCTCCCCCTCCCCCAGGCCCCTCCCCTGGCCCCTCCCTGGCTCCTTCCCCAGCTCCTCCCCCTCCCCTGGCTCCTCCCCTGGCTCCTCCCCTCCCTGGCTCCTCCCCCTCCTGGCTCCTCCCCCTCCCCAAGCTCCTCCCTGGCTCCTCCCCCTCCCCTGGCTACTCCCCCTCCCCTGGCTCCTCCCCCTCCCCTGGCTCCTCCCCTGGCTCCTCCCCCTCCCCTGGCTCCTCTCCTGGCTCCTCCCCTGGCTCCTCCCCCTCACCTGGCTCCTCCCCTCCCCTGGCTCCTCCCCCTCACCTGGCTCCTCCCCTGGCTCCTCCCCTCCCCTGGTTCCTCCCCCTCCCCTGGCTCCTCCCCCTTCCCCGTGGCTCGGCCCCGGGATCCTAAACTGTAAAGTGCTCTGAGACGCCGTCCGGCGTGGAGAGCGCTATATAAATCCAGGTTGTTGTTGTTGTTGTGTAGGGGAGGCAGTGTGTGTGTGTGTATGGGGGGGGCAGTGTGTGTGTGTCAGGAGGGGGCAGTGGGAAGTGGACACTGCTGTATGCAATTGGCTGCTGCGTTTTGCTCACAAAATATGCAGTAAATTTACATTACCGGGAATCCTTTGAGACGTCTCGATGATGTGATAAAGCACTATATCAAATGCAAGGATTATTATTAATTATTTGCAGTGTTTGTGATCAGAAAATGGCATGATTTCACCCTGTCCTAATTGCTGTCTGTAGGAGAAGATGGAGTGTCAGTGGAGGGTGTTGTGAGGTTTGTGAAGGCTATATTTTGCTACGAGCACTGGGACATATTTGACAACATTATTGGCCCAGTTTTCAATTTCCTAACTGTAAGTGAACTTTATTGACACATCAACCCCAAAATTCTGAATATCAGTCAAACAAAATCAGTCGGTGTTTTACCATGTGCATTTTCTCCTGTGTGTGTGTGTGTGGTGCGTGTGTGTGTGTGGTGTGTGTGTGGTGTGTGTGTGTGTGGTGCGTGTGTGTGGTGTGTGTGGTGCGTGTGTGTGTGTGATGTGTGTGTGGTGTGTGTGTGTGCGTTGTGTGTGTGTGGTGTGTGTGTGTGTTGTGTGGTGTGTGTGTGGTGTGTGTGGTGCGTGTGTGTGTTTGATGTGTGTGTGTGTGGTGTGTGTGTGTTGTGTGTGTGTGGTGTCTGTGTGTGTGTGTGGTACGTGTGTGTGGTGTGTGTGTTGTGTGTGTGTGGTGTGTGTGGTGCGTGTGTGTGTGTGTGTGTTGTGTGTGTGTGGTGTCTGTGTGTGTGTGGTGCGTGTGTGTGGTGTGTGTGGTGTGTGTGTTGTGTGTACGTGGTGTGTGTGGTGCGTGTGTGTGTGTGATGTGTGTGTGTGTGGTGTGTGTGTTGTGTGTGTGTGGTGTCTGTGTGTGTGGTGCGTGTGTGTGGTGTGTGTGTGTGTGATGCGTGTGTGTGTGTGGTGTGTGTGTGTTGTGTGTGTGGTGTCTGTGTGTGTGTGGTGTGTGTGTTTGTTAGTCGGATGAAAATAGAACATGGAGGAAATATGAGCTGGATTTGGAACTGCTGCTCGCGATGGAACCTTTACTATCAAATCGGAAACCCAAACACGGTCTCCAGCTCAGAGAAAAATGTGCAGGAGGTACGGAGGTTTATTTATTGCGTGGAATATGTTGTGAAATATTTAACCTTTCCGTCCTTTCCTGATTCATTGACTGATTGATTGATTTTCTGATTGCTTTTTCTTCAAAATAATAATAATAATAAATTGGTCACTCAAATCCATGACTGTTTGTGGGACGCTGCTGTGCGCAATTGGCTCCCACATTTCACCCACAAATTATACAGTCAATTCACTTTACAGTGTATCCTGTGAAGCAAAGATTATTATTATTACCAGGTTGCCCTTTGAACATTTCCTGGCTTCAGGTTATGGTGGTCTTTGAATGGTTAGTGAATTAAAAATGGCTGCGTAATTCAGCACTTTATTGCTGTAGTACCTTCACTGATCTAACCTAGAATTATAATTAACACACTGTACTGTTGCTTTTATTTAGTTGGGTCATTTGGGGCTGGAAGATCCAATCACTGGTGTGATGATTTTGTGATACTTGCGGAGACACTGTATACGTACACCTGCACTACTAGAGAGGTATGTATGTCCCATCAGAGATTTGATCCCCACATTCCTTCCTCCCCTCACATCCGGTCCCCTTCATCTCCGTCATATTGCCCACCTCCGACTGTACCTCATCCCCAACACAGCCCAAACCCTTCTCCACGCTTTCATCACCTCGAATGCCTTCCTCGTTGGTCTCCCCAGATCCACTACCCACAAAATCCAACTAACTAATTCAAAACTCCACCATCTATGTACTCACCGGCTCTGCGGCTTTATTCCTCACTCCATTAAGTAGCTGCTATGAAAGTTGTGGAGCTAAAGTGAGGCTAAGTACTGAACATAACGGAAGAAAAAGGAGAAAGGGGAAGGTAATTCGAGTTTCAGATAGAAGTGTGGCATTGGTGGAGGTCAGAGCTCCTGATTGATCAATCTGCTCATCCATAGGAGACTTATGTCCCAAGAAGCTCACAGAAAGCCAAACAAAAGAAGAAATCGAACAATAATGCACCTGGAACAATGTATTTTATTTGATAAATATGGCCATTTTTCTTGCAGAAGACATGTCAAGTATTTGATGGTGCAATTTTATTTCATTCACTGCAGAACTCTGTGCCTGATAAGGACATGGTGGTGGATGCTGTCCTGTTTCTGTGGCAGAAGTGTAAGATGGTTTTGCAGAGAACTCAGATTGGGTTGACAGATCCCATTAAATACCTACAGAAGATTGATCACTTTGGGAAGGTATGGAAATAATAATGCCTGCATTTTATGTAGCGCATTATCATGTCTTTGAGACATCTCAAAGCGCTTCACAGGGTATACTGTAAAGTGTAGTGACTGTATATTTTGTGAGCGAAACTGAGAATTCCATGTATTCCACCTACACGTGGAAATCCCAGAGATAGATTATTGGAATGGAATACGCTCTCTCTCTCCCTGCTTATCTAATTCTGGATAGTATTAGGCGCAGGTTGGCGAGAGCCAAGGCTTGGGGGAGCCCATAGTGTGCGTTGGGGTAACTGCTGGAGTCTAACCAGCTAAACCCACATAACTTGCCGTTGGGAACACTATCTGGCAAACCAAGGCAGGCCCTGACTGAGTAACCACAGTGATGTGTACTGCTACCTGGTGGTTTACACATGTATTGTAACAATAATCCTTGCATTTGATATAACCCCTGTTTTCAATACGTCTCAAAGCCCTTCACAGAATATACTGTAAAGTGAATTAACTGTATACGTTGTGGTAAAAAACACGGCAGCCAATTGCGCACAGCAGCGTCCCACAAACAGTCGTGGATTGAGTAATCATACTCTTCTTATTTTTTTTAAGAGATTATTATCCCCGGAAAAGCCATCCACCAATTGACTAACAACTGGTTCCTACTTACTGCTGGTAAATAAAGGCGTGTGTGTGGAGTAAGGAAACTGGCCTAAGGTTTTGCCCTGCTCAGGAATCAAAACCAGGTCCTCTTGCTTGTGAGGCGAGTGCTCTAACCACTAAGCTACAGGACTCCAACCTAACTAAATCTAACTCCTGTTCATTTACTTGTTCTGCTCTTCAGTGCTGTGTCAGTGGGTAATCTTACCACTTGGCTGACAATGCTTTGTAATGGTATCTTTCAGTGGATTCATATCCTGTGCTTGACTGAAGAGGTGATTTGTTGGTGCAACATAGGGGAGATTGACCCAGCAGTGGTGGCAGAAGTGACCCTGTATTTAATAACGTTGCTGGAGAACCTGGTGGATTCAAATTTAAAACCCAGGAAGAAATCAGGTATAAATCTAATCTTATCTCAGCTAAACAACACTGATGAAGACAAATTAATTTTTTTTGTTGATCACGCGATATGATTTAGTTAATAACAAAGAGTCAAGTAATTTTTAGGTTAAAAACAGAAATGACATTACTGGGATATTAAAACAAACAACAGACTCTCTCTTGAATATCACTGTTTAGTAATCCAGTTATATTTATAATAATAATAATAATAATCATTACATTTGATACAACCCATTATCAATTCGTTGAGATGTCTACAGTGCCTTCATAGAATATATTGTAAAGTGTAGTGACTGTATATTTTGTAGGCTAAACAAGGCAGCTAATTGTGCACAGCAGTGTCCCACAAACAGTCATCGATTAAATGACCAGGTTTTGTTTGAGGGATTATTATAATTTTCACTTGAATAAAATAAGCGACTCAATTTCACTGGCACTTTTTGTCCAAAAGTACCAGATGAACATAATTTATTTTTTTGTTTGCAGACACTGAATTAAATATTTCTGCCTGGGCAGATAACAGAAAGTGTTCATAAAAAAATCAGATGCACATCTAGAAATGTATGTGTTTTGAAGCACTTTTTATTGGCACGAATTAGCAAAGCTAGAAATAGGTGGATGTTTGTATATTCTTTAATTCATTGACATTTTGGGCAAATTTCCTTACTCCACACGCCTGATAATAATCCCTCAAGAAAAAAAACAAGAACAAATTGGTCGCTCAATCCACAACTGTTTGTGGGACGCTGCTGTGCGCAATTGGTTGCCATGTTTTGCCCACAAAGTAGACAGTCAATTCACTTTACACTATAATCACTATACAGTATATCCTGTGAAGACGTCTCGAAGATGTGATAAGGCGCTGTATCAAATGCAAGGATTATTAATATTTTATACAGTGGGAATGGACAATATTTCTTACAATGAGTAAGATAGTTACCATGTTGTGACTTGAAATGTTAGTATTAATTCTCTACACCTATTTATCTTTGCAGGTTTCCAGGTGCAGGATGAGAGCCAAAAGCCGGGAATTGAGCAGTGCTTCCCATCAAGCATCTTCAAGGTGAGTCGCACAATCACCGTCATCATAGAGCAATGTCAAAATTATAATAGTCCTGGAATTTGATGCAGCGCCTTATCACGTCGTTGTTGTTGTTGTTATTGGAGCCGTTTAAATTTTCAAGACTGAGGAAATATAAATGTTATTTCCTGCTCTGAATTATTTTACTGAGGGAAACTCTATGTGGGCACAATTTCCCATCATTACTGAACTTCACAGTTTGCAGCTGTTACAATAATGATCCAAATGTTGTGTTTTCATTTCAGAAAAAGCCAGTTGAAAAGATTCTTGTGGCCTGTAAAATGGCTAAGAAGGCGATCGATAGCATGGATGCTGCTCGCTTAATAGTCGCCTCATCTAATGCATCCTCAATGGTAGACAGTTCTCGTTTAAAGGTAAGGGAAGGATTTGGCTAACCTTGATAATATGTTATTAAGGATCGAGAGCCATGTTAGCAAGTTAATAATAATAATAATCCTTGCATTTGATATAGCGCCTTATCATTGCAAAGTGAATAGACTGCATATTTTGTGGGTGAAACACGGCAGCCAATTGCATACAGCAGTGTCCCACACACCATCGTGGATTGAGTGACCAAATTATTATTATTTATTTATTCATTTTTTTGAAGGGATTATTACACCCGGAAAAGTGATCCGTCAATCGATTCCTACTTACTGCTAGATAATCAGAGGCATGTGGAGTAAGGAAAATTGCCTAAGGTTTCCCCCTGCCCGGTGCTCTACAGCTACAGCTTGTTTTCTCTCCTATGAATCAGCAGCTATTGGGTCAGCAGGAAGGTTATTGGTGGCCGAGGGGGGGTCTAGACATACTATTGGCTCTCTGGTCACTGAACTCAGCTGAGAAACAGCTTCAGGATGTAATAGGAACCCTTTAGGGCTGGTGTCCTGAAAGTATGACTTGAAATGGGACAAATCTTTGCTCCTGAATTCAGTTTATTCTCTCTCTATCAGTGTATCTCTATGGGTGAGAAACAGCTTTTCCACCCAATGCATTGTGAAACGCAGATGAAGACTACAGATAAAGAAAGTTCCAACAAATCAGCATCTATCCACAGCTTCACCATGGATTTACATCTGGAACTCATCCAAGCCTATCACAGACTGGCACTCAAATTCATCAAGTTAAGTCCTGGTAAGGTTTACATCTGCCTGCATCCCATTCCTTGTTTAGGGAGTCTGTACCAATGTTATCTTTGAATCAAATGTTTTCTGTTCTTAAACAGAATGAAAGCTCACAGAAGAAGCTGTGCTCCCCTTTGATATTTCTACCTGTCAGTGTATTTGCTATTATTAATTTACCATCAACCCATGTTCTTCTGTTTCATGTTCTAACATACTGTCACCTTTTAGCTTAATAAATAGTCCTTTTTAATGCATTTTTGGTTTGTTGGCAACCCACTATTGAATGTCATGATCCAATGCTGATTATCAACATTACGTAATGCTAATAATCTATGTGTTTGGAGTGTTACTATCAGGACTGGATGTGAAATAGAATGTAGCCCTTTATGCAGTAAAAGCAATGGATTATTTTGGGGGGCGTCAGCCGGGTGTCTGACACATGTGGAAACCCATCACCGTTGCCTAACAGTCTCCAAACCAAACTGAGAATTCCATGTCTCCCACCGACACATGGAAATCCCAGAGAGAGATCGTTGGAATGGAATGCGCTCTCTCTCTCTCCCCGGAGGGACACACCCTGTTTACCTAATTCCGGAGAGTATTAGGTGCCAAGGCTTGATGGGGAACCTAGAGTGTGTGTTGGGGTAACTGCTGGAGGCTAACCAGCTAAACCCACACGTAGCTTGCCATTGATATTGCTGTCTGGCAAGTTTTCCCGCTGCTTTTCCAGTTAGGACCACCCTATCATTAGGGCTTTGGTTGCAAGGTTAACAGGAGCTGAGTGGGAGGATTTCCTGCCCAGAAAACCAATGGAGAGAGAGTGTGGTGAACAGGAATAAGATTTGATCAGAAGGTGAGACTAAATTTTCATACACAATGGTAACATTTGTCATGTGAGAAAAATAAACCATGGACCTATTTATATGAGAGCTGGTGACCCATCAGCTCTCATATAAACAAGCTAGTGATTTAAAAAAAAAGTGGCAAAATGTTTATGATAAACTATAAGTGGCTTCCGTTGTAATTTTTCCACTTAAGTGCCACAGAACCCGGAACCTAGCGTTCCAAAGTGCAAACCATCTTGGGCACGATCGACATCAAACGCTGCTGATGGTGAAAAACCCTTCATGTTTTCCAGAGGTAAAATCCCAATAGAATGATATGAAGAATTCCACATGTGTGACTATCAGGAATAAATAATGTATGACGAAATAAAAGATAATAATAATCCTTGCATTTGGTACAGCGCCTTATAGCATCTTCGAGACGTCTCAAAGTGCTTCACAGGATATACTGTAAATATACTGAATTGACTGTGTACTTTGTGGGCGTAATACTATTCTAGAATAGCTCTGGAACTCCATCCCCAGTGCCTTCGCCGCTTCCTCCCTTTCCTCCTTCAAGGCTGGTCTCAAGGCCTTTCTCTTTGCCCGTGCGTTCAGCTCCGCTCTTGACTCTCTACCCCCTCCTCGCTCCCTCCCTTCCCTCCCCTCACCCTGACCATTCCCCCCCTCCTCGCTCCCTCCCTTCACTCCCCTCACCCTGACCATTCCCCCCTCTTCGCTCCCTCCCTTCCCTCCCCTCACCCTGACCATTTCCCCCCTCCTCGCTCCCTCCCTTCCCTCCCCTCACCCAGATCATTCCCCCCCTCCTCGCTCCCTCCCTTCCCTCCCCTCACCCTGACCATTTCCCCCCTCCTCGCTCCCTCCCTTTCCTCCCCTCACCCTGACCATTTTCCCCCCAATGCTCGGGTCCTGACCCAACTGTACAGCGCCTTGGGACGTCCTCCCGACGTGAAAGGCGCTCAATAAATGGAATCTTGTTGTTGTTGTTGTATCTTGTTGTATTTTAGAGATTAGAATGAACATGACCTTTATGGAGTCTTGTAACTCAGCGGTTAGACATTCACCTCAGAGTCAGAGACCTGGGTTAAATTCCCGGTCGAGGCGAAACGTAGGGCAAGTTTCCTTACCCCACGCTACTCTGATTACCAGCAGTCAGTAGGAACCTGGTTGTTAGTCGATTGGCGGATTGCTTTTCCAAGAGTAATAATTCCTTCAAAACAAAAAATAATAATAAGTTGGTCACTTCAATCCACGGCTGTGTGTGGTACACTGCTGTGCGCAATTGGCTGCCGCGTTTCACTCACAAAATATACAGTCAATTCATTTCATAGTATATCCTGTGAAGCGCTTTGAGACGTCTCGAAGACGTGATAAGGCGCTTATCAAATGCAACAACAACAACAACAAGATTTCATTTATTGAGCGCCTTTCACGTCGGGAGGACGTCCCAAGGCGCTGCAAGCATTATTATTATCTTTTTCAGAATTATTTTTATGCGATGTTTTATGATGTCGTTTATGATTATTTAGTAATTGTATAATAATCTAACTCTTTGTGTTAGTGTTACCTTAAATAATACTTTTTGATAGATTTAAAGAAAAGGAATAAAGTATCTTTTTCATATTTCTGTTGCTTTGTCGGCCTCGCTGACCCACCCTTTGGACCTCTATTCCACAGTCCCTCTCCCTCCCTCCCTCCCTCCCTCCCTCGCCTCCTTCAAGGTCCGTCTCAAGACCCTCCTCTTCGACTGCGTCTTCGTTCACCCTCCTATCCCCACCCTCCCCGCCCTCCACCCCCTCCTGATCCCAACCCCCAGCTCGGGTCCACATCCCTGACTGTCCAGCGCCTTGGGACGTCCTCCCGATGTGAAAGGCTCTGTAAATGTCATTTGTTGTTGTTTTTGCTAAGAAAAAGTGTTGAAAGACTCATTTGTATTCAGGTGATATTCACTGTATTGACACATTACCTGTTCATTTGTGTCTTCGTCAGAGGAAGACATCATTGCTAACATCAAGAATAACAAAATATCAAAAGCTCTGTTTCTAATGCAGAAAGCTTTGTCGTTGCCCAACAAAGGACAAATCAGTAATACCCAAAAACAACTTCTTGAGGTAACCACTCTTACACATGTACATAAAACATCACTAATTAAATAAGTTATTTGTTCCTTTCAATCAAACAAATGGAACCTTCAGCAACTTTGCTACATAATAATAATAATAATAATAACCTTTGCATTTGATATAGCGCCTGATCACGTCTTCGAGACGTCTCAAAGCGCTTCACAGAATATGCTGTAAAGTGAATTGACTGTATATTTGTGGGCGAAACGCAGCAGCCAATTGCGCAGAGCAATGTCCCACAAACAGTCGTGGATTGAAAATGATCAATTTATTATTGTTTTGTTTCGGAGTTATTATTATTAGGCTCTGTGTGGAGTAAGGAAACTTGCCCAAGGTTTTGCCCTCTGCCTGGAATTGAACCCAGGTCTCTCACTTGTAAGGTGAGGGCTCTAACCATTGAGCTACAACCATTGATTTTGAATCCAAAATCATGGGAATTCGCTCCGCGGTCACTTCCTCTCCAACATCCACCCACCCCCCACCCCCTCCCTCCCACACTCCGACTCCTACCCATCCTCCCCTGCACACTTTCGTACCCGTTTCCCCACCCTCTGTCACCAAACTCATTCTATCCCTGAAACCTACCACCTGCCCCCTTGACCCCATCCCCACTCCACTCCTTATCTCCCAGCTCCACCTCTTTGCCCCACATATCACAGACATCGTCAACCTGTCCCTCTCCTGTGGCTCTGTCCCCATTCAGACAGCACACGAGCTGCAGAGTTCTGAATGACCTGCGGTGTGGAGGGAGCGCCGGGAAGGCCGGCGAGGAGAGAGGTCCCATAGTCCAGCCTTGAGGTGATAAAGGCGTGGACCAGAGTTTCAGCCGGGTGAGGGGTGAGGTAGTGCCGTAGTCTGGCCATGTTTCGGAGGTGATGGAAGGCGGTGCCAGTTGTGGTGCGGATATGAGGGAGAAAGGACAGCTCAGGGTCGAGGGGAACCCCGAGGTTCCTGATGGCTTTGAGAGGTGGAGAGTGCGGAGCTGATGCTGTCAGCGCCTGAGGTGCGGAGGCGCTGACGTGAGCCAATCAGGAGGGCCTCAGTTTTGCGCACGTTGAGCTGAAGAAAGTTGTCTCTCGTCCAGGACTCGATGTCGGACAGACAGCTGTCAGGACATCGGGAGTCGTTGAGTTGAGGGTAGAGGAGGAAAGGTAGAGTTGGGTGTCATCCGCATACATGTGGGAGTGAACCCCATATCTGCGGATGATGTCACCACAGGGGGAGCATATAGAGGGTGAAGAGGAGGGGACCGAGGACAGAGCCCTGAGGGACACCACACGAGACAGTGCGGGGGGTGGAGGGAAAGCTATTTGTGGAAAGATAAAGCAAGGGAGCAAACTTTTGAACGGAAAGACCTATGTAAATGGAGTGAGGTTGGCAGTCTGGTTGGACAAGGCCACCCTCACCCTCGCCTGCCCTAACTTTGGCGAGTGGGAGAAATTCAACCTGGAGAAGCACAACCTTCGGGAGTACATCGGGATCAAGGTGAACCCACCAGAGTAATATAGGAATCAGTACTCAGCTAATGTTATTCGTTTGAACTAATTATAATAATATAATAATAATTCAATGCAACATGCAGTGTGAGGGAGCACCATTTATACCAACTGATAGATGGTCATTAACTGCTTTGAATTGTATAGGATACATAGAAACAGGAGGAGGCCATTCAGCCCCTCGAGCCTGTTCCGCCATTCTATAAGATCATGGCTGATCTGTACCTCAATTCCGATTACCCGCCCTTGCCCCATATCCCTTGATACCCTGACCTAACAAATAGTCACAGCTGAAATAAAAATACTCCCAAATCAACAGACATAAATTGATATGATGTGTTGATTTTTTTTCAAGGTATTTCTATGATCAGACCACATTTAAATAAAGGTTGATTATTTTACAGGAAGTTGTGTCTGTGCTTCGGAAAGTGGAGGCTGAAGATAAAAAGCTCTATCATTTGAATAGGGATCAGAAATCTCACCCTACAGAAAACGAAGGTGTTGTACCAGCTCCTATTCTGCTTTACAGAGCACACAACTCCATGATATTCACACCAGCTCCGTTTAATTCATCTGAAAAGGTAGGTGATCTCTCCCTTTGCTCTGCTAGACCTTTAAGTAGCCCTGTAGCTCACAAGCGAGAGGACCTGGGTTTGATTCCTGAGCAGGGTGTTTCCTTGCCATGCACAATTGGCTGCCGCGTTTCACCCACAAAATATACAGTCAGTTCATTTTTCAGTTTATTCTGTGAAGCGCTTTGAGACGTCTTAATGACGTGATAAGGCGCTGTATCAAATGCCAGGATTATTATTATTATTGATCAGCTAACGATAAATCAAACCCTATTTTATCAGCTTGCTATCTGACATACACACAAACGTATTACCATGGTAAGAGTCTTCACATTGGACAAACTGAACTAGTTCCTTGTGTGTGGTTTCATGGAAGTACTCTGGGATGCTACCCTGCCTGATATAAATGCAGGTTGTTGTTGATGGTAGTGGTGAATGGAACATGTATGAATAGTTATTTAAAATCTAATTAACTTTATTTCGTCAGGTTTACTGGTATCAGATATTTGGCCGTATTGCCACAGGATACAATCCCAAAGTCAGGATGAATGATTGTCACTTTCTAGGGACAGGACAAGAGGTATGGAGAGATAAAGCAAAACTGGATCATATAACTGAATGTTAACATGTTAATTAATGCTCATATTGTGTCAGATGACATCATCGGATTTTCATGTTATTTATGTCATTTTTATGTAATTATATGGAGTCCTGTAGCTCAGTGGTTAGAGCACTCTTCTTGCAAGTGAGGGGACCTGGATTTGATTCCCGGGCAGGGCGAAACGTTGGGCATGTTTCCTTACTCCACAGGTCTCTGTTTACCTGCTGTGCGCGATTGGCTGCCGCGTTTCGCCCACAAAATATACAGTCACTACACTTTACAATATATTCTGTGCAGCGCTTTGAGGAGTCTCAAAGTCACGATAAGGCGCTATGGCACATGCAAGGATTATTATTATTACTTTTATGTTAATGATGTATTACGCCAGTTGAAACTTCTCTTTCAGTTTTTGTGTGGCTTTGCCTCTAATTGTAGGTACCAGCATCAGGGAAATGTTTTTTGAAGGTAGGAGGATTGGAACCCAATGAAAAATACATCTTTGCTGTTGTTGCCTATTCCGAGACTGGAAAAATAATTGGAAACACAATAGGGGAGACGACAAAGCCAATCCTCGCCTGTCATCCTCTTCCCATCCTTACAACTTGGGCCTATCTTTGTCAGGTATGTCAAGTCCTCTTGACCGAAACCTTAAGGCAAGTTTCCTTACTCCACAATGTGTGACAGTAATTTTATATATTTGTTATGGAGTCCTGTAGCTCAGTGGTCAGAGCACTCGCTTTGCAAGCGAGAGACCTGAGTTCAATTCCAGGCAGAGGGCGAAACCTTGGGCAAGTTTCCTTACTCCACACGCCTAATAATAATCCCTCCAAAACCAAAAACAATAATAAATTGGTCATTTTCAATCTACGACTGTTTGTGGGACATTGTTGTGCGCAATTGGCTGCCGCGTTCGCCCACAAATATACAGTCAATTCACTTTACAGTGTGTTCTGTGAAGCGCTTTGGGACGTCCTCCCGACGTGAAAAGCGCTATATCAAATGCAAGGATTATTATTATTATTATGCCGTGGATATGTAAACCTACCTATAGATAAACAGAGAGTAGATAGAATAATGTTCTAATCTAATATTAATTATTATTGTTTCTTAGTATTCGTATCAATTGGGACATTATCCAGTAGCAAAATTAGCTTTTTCAGTGCTTTGGGATCACTTTGTCATAGCAGCAACCAACCAGGATTTCGCTATTTCTTTAACCGAAGATTGGAAAATAGTTCCAAAAAGGTACAAATGTTTCTTATATCCTCTTTCCTCAACACCTTTTATAATGTTGATTCACTTGTGTTTTAAAATTATGGCTTTAATTTCAATGTCAAACTATTTCTGTCAAAGCATTTCATGTTCTAATAGCCACTGCATGAAACATAAAATGTTCTGTTGAAGTATGTAACAGCAAATGATAAAATAGAAGAGTGGAGTCCTGTAGCTCAGTGGTTACAGCACTCGCCTCACAAGTGAGAGGACCCGGGTTCGATTCCTGGTCAGAGCAAAACCTTAGACAAGTTTCCTTACTCCACACACCTCTGTTTATCAGCAGTCAGTAGGAACCCGGTTGTAAGTCGATTGGTGGATTGCTTTTCCGGGGGTAATAATCCCTTCAAAACAAATAAATAAGAATTTTATCACTCAATCCACAGTTGTCTGTGGGACGCTGCTGTGCACAATTGGCTTCTGCATTTCGCCCACAAAATATACAGTCAATTCACTTTATAGTATCTTTTGTGAAGCGCTTTGAGACGTCTCGAAGACACTGTATCAAATGAAAGTATTATTATTATGAAATAAAAACAAGCTACTTGATATAATATTACAATTGATAATCAATGGATGATCTTGTCTTTTAACTGTTGCCATGATTTCTGACCCTCAGTTTATGCTGTACGGCTTTGCAGAGAGCATCGCCCATTCTGTTGCGGCTTTTTCTGGGAAACATTTTCATCAGTTGTGACATTAGTGTAAAGGAGGAAGAAATCTTTTGTGATGCTCTCTGTAGCAATGGACCACTCCTCAAAGGACAAGTAGGTTCTGGAATAACATTGAACTTTTGGTCATTGTGGAGTCCTGTAGCTTAGTGGTTAAAGCACTCGCCTTGTAAGTGAGAGGACCTGGGTTTGATTTCCTTCAAAAATAAATAAATAAAATAATAATAATTTGGTCACTCAAATCCACGGCTGTTTGTGGGACACTGCTGTGCGCAATTGGCTGCCAAGTTTCGCCCACAAAATATACAGTCAATTCACTTTACAGTGTACCCTGTGAAGCGCTTTGAGACTTCTCGAAGATGTGATAAGGCGCTGTATCAAATGCACAGATTATTATTATTACTCGTAAGCAATATTATCCCACAGGCGACTGCAATGTGGTTTCATTTACAGCTTTGGCGTTTGGCTGAATGTGAGAAGATGCTGGTGGCGATCGAACTTGCCGGCTGGGTCAATGACAACAATCAAGCATTGCAGGCTGTGGTCCAGTGCTATGGACTTCTTGCACCTGTGATCTGGCACATGATTCCTTTAGTGCCAGTTGTGCAGGTCAGTGCATTTAATAAAGATTTAATATGTATGTGTGTGAGGTAATCTTCTAGCAGTGGGTATGTGTGCAGTCCTGTACCTCAGTGGTTGAGCACTCGCCTCACAAGAGAGAGGACCTGGGTTTGATTCCTGGGCAGGGGGAAACCTTAGGCAAGTTTCCTTACTCCACGCACCTGTTTACCAGCAGTGAGTAGGAACCAGTTGTTAGTCATTTGGCAGATCCCTTTTCCGGGGGTAATAATACCTTCAAAAATAAATAAATAAATAATAATAATTTGGTGACTCAATCCATGACTGTTTGTGGGATGCTACTGTGTGCAATTGGCTGCCCATTTCACCCACAAAATTCACAGACACTACACTTTACAGTATATTCTATGAGGGCTTTGAGGAGTCTCAAAAGCATGATAAGGCGCTATAGCAAATGCGAGGAATATTGCTATAATTATTGTTGCTACAAAACACATTAAATGTCACTGTATAACAACATTTTATGTTAGTAAAATTATAATTATTAGTTTTCAATTCAATTTGATGTACTAGATCCTCATCAAATGTCTGAGTGTTCTACAAGAAGTTCTCACTACCTGCAAGCTCAAGAAACAACGTGCAATGATCAACAGTTTACAACACATGATCGCTTGTATGACTTGTCACTTGGCAAAGGTATGTATGTGCCTGGTTTTATGTATGGTTTTAGAATGCGTGCTATTTGTAATAATAATACTACACATTAGAGTGTATCCTGTGAAGCACTTTGAGATGTGTCAAAGAGGTGATAAGGCGCTGTATCAAATACAAGGATTATTATTAATAATCGTTGCATTCAATATAGCACCTTATCACGTCTTCGAGACGTCTCAAAGCGCTTTACAGGATATATTGTAAAGTGAATTGACTGTATGTTTTGTGGGTGAAGTTAAGGCTTGCCAAATGAAGAATGATCATTGGGATGAGATACCCAGAGAGTGACCATCTGCCCATGGAACAACAAGAGGGAATGCCTTCAAGAAAGGAATGATGAGAGAAAATTGAAGGCGGGTTGAGCCCACGTACAAAATGCACGGTCACTACACTTTACAGTGAAAACTGTGAAGTGCATTGAGATGTCCTCCTGACATGAAACGAGCAATATCAAGTGCAAGGATTATTACTATAACAGATCTCCTCACTGCTAGCGCAGGAATGCTAAAATATAGGGTTGGCTGCTTCTCTCCTTACGCAGCTGAAACTGGTGAATGTGAAACACAAATGTAAAGCTTTATACGGGAGCATGTGGTGTTATTATTGACAGGTGCTGCGTTCCTGGAACGAGTTTGATTTGGCTTTCGCTGTAATCAATATCGGGAAGAAATTGTTGAAATCGAAAGTTAGTGATGATGAAAGCAAAGCTGAGGAGGATCCTGAGTCTGTGCCACAGGTATCTCAACAGCCATTTGGTAGAGAAACTGTTTTGGTTATTAGTCGATTGGCGGATTGCTTTTCCAGGGGTAATGTTTCCCAACTCCTCCCGCCACAGGCTGCAGATAATCCAGAACTAACTCTGCAGCCCGTGTCCTCTCCCCCACCAAACTCCGTGACCCCATCTCCCCCACTCTCACCCAACTCCATTGGCTCCCTATCCTTCAGAGGATCCAGTTCAAGATTCTGGTCCTCACCTACAAAGCCCTCCATGGCCTCGCCCCACCCTAACTCTACGACCTCCTAACCCCCTACCAACCCGCCCGTTCCCTCTGCTCAGCCGGCTCTGGCTGCTCCACGTCCCCCGACCCACCCGCCCCACCATTGGCGGGAGAGCCTTCAGCCACTCTGCCCCCAACCTCTGGAACTCCATCCCCCAATCACTCCGCCTCACCCCCTCCTTAGCCTCCTTCAAGTTCTGCCTCTAGACCCTCCTCTTCGACCATGCCATTGGTCACCCCCCCCTTCCTCTCCCCTCCCTTTCCCCCCCAACCCCAGCTCGGGTCTGAAATGCTATCACTGCGCCTCGGGATGTCCTCCTGACGTGAAAGGTGCTGGACACGTGTAATCTTGTTGTTGTGGTTGTAATAAATAGGATTATTTTACACAGAGAGCAGTGGGAATGTGGAACATGCTCCACAAGGAGTTGTTGAGGCAAATAACATTGATGTATTTAAATGGAAGCTAAAGAAGTACATGAGGGAGAAAGGAATAGAAGGTTCTGCTTGAAGGCTTAGTTGAGGAAGGGCAGGAGGAGGCTCATGTGGAGCATAAACACCGGCACAGACCAGTTGGGCCAAATGGCCTGCTTCTGTGCTGTATATTCTAACGGTATTTTATAGGTTTATATAATTCTCCTATATTAAGAGCTGGGCAGGCTTGCATTTAGGAGCTTTTCTGAACACTGCTGTATATATTTTGTTCTTAATTTAGGATGGTTGGGAAAAACGTGCCAAACAGGAGTCAGTGCTGCTTGAAAAAACATTAAATGAACAAGTGGAGACGGTGGAAGCAGGATTGCTACAAATGTCCAAAGAAGGTAGAAAATATAAAGACTTACTTTGACTTACTTTGACACATTGTGGAGTCCTGTAGCATAGTGGTTAGTAGCGCAAGTGAGAGGACCTGGGTTTGATTCCCGGGCAGGGCGAAACCTTAGCCAAGTTTCCTTACTCCACACTCCTCTGTTTTCGTAGCAGTAAGTAAGAACCCGGTTGTTAGTCGATTGGCGAACTGCTAGTTTGGTCACTCAATCCACAACTGTTTGTGGGACACTGCTGTGTGCAATTGGCTGCTGCATTTCACCCACAAATATACAGTCACTATATTCTGTGAAGCGCTTTGAAACATCTCAAAGATGTGATAAAGTGCTATATCAAATGTATCGATTATTATTAAAGTGAAAATATGTTGGCCATGAAAACAGTTTAGCTCAAACACCACAGGATATGTCAACGCAAATTTATCTTTTTATGTATTTTCACCAGTTGTAACAAAGCTGACTGGGAATGAAGATCCAAGTTTGCTGTTTGGCGTCATCTTATTCTCCCCAATAGATTCTGCTTATGAAGAAGGTTGGAGTTTTTAAATATGTTGCAGCTGAAATGCTTTGAATTTATTTATGAATGTTCTTCCCTGTTCACTTCGATGTAAAATGTTACAGGGGAAATACAGAATCATTTGTTGATGTCAGTTTCCAATTAAATGTGTGCAGTATATTCCTGACCTTCAGATGAGACGTTAAACCGAGGTCCAGTCTGCCTGTTCAAGTGGATGTTAAAGATCCTGTGGTGCTATTTGAAAAAAGAAAGTAGTTTCTCTCGCCCAGTGTCTCAGTCAATAATCCTCCAAATAAAATTGGTCGTTCACTCCACAACTGTTTGTGGGACGCTGTTGTGCCTAAACTTACTGCTGCATTTCACCCATAAAATACACAGATACTCCGCAGTGTATCCTGTGAAGCGCTTTGAGACATCTCAATGAGGCGCTATATCAAATGCAAGGATTATTATTATTATATAAATATAATTGGATTACTCAGAAGTTATATTCAAGAGGGAGCCTGTTTTTTGTTTTATTATCCAAAAAAAAATTTGATAAGGTGGTATATCAATGCAAGGATTATTATTAATATTAATATCCTGGTAATGTCAATCTGTTGCAGTGATCAAATTTAAGGATTCAAATCGTTTCCTGGAGTTCTTTAACATATTGATAGAGAAAGCTATTCACTTGGATCAGCTCAGCATGGTTTTAGAGTGGGTGAATCTTGCTGAAAGTGGATTAAAACAGTAAGTTATTATTTCTTAAGAATCTAGCCAAATATGGAAATGGGCCTAAAATGTAATCTTTGCCAATGGGATGAGAGTTTATCTTTGGGAGTTCCGGTTTGTGAATTTTGGATTGTGAGATTTGCAAAAGAGAAAATCGTAATTCCCAAGCTGATCATTTTTGTTTTCTGGTCAAACACAGAAACCCATCACTGCGCTTGAGAATCCAAACCAAGCTGAGATTTCCATCCATCCCACCTATACCTACCAATCCCAGAGAGAGATTGTTGGGATGGAATGCGCTCTCTCTCTCTCTCTCTCTCCCTGGAGGGACACATCCTGTTTACCTAATTCAGGAGAGTATTAGGCGCAGGTTGGTGAGAGCCAAGGCTGGGGGGGAGCCCAGAGTGTGTGTTGGGGTAATGGCTGGAGTCTAACCAACTAAACCCACACAGCTGCCATTGATATCACTGTCTGGCCAGCTTTCCCATTGCTTGTCCAGCGAGGATCCCCTACTCATGAGGGCTTTGGCTGCAGTGTTAACAGGAGCTGAGTGGGCTGACTCCCTGCCCCAAGCGATTGTAAAGTCCTTAGGGATGTCCTCCAACAACTCATCAAATGTAAGGATTATGATTATTTATTGAAGTATTTACAAATCAATGTTTTCTTTAACTTAACAGTCGGAAAGAGTCCACTTGTAATCTTAAGAAAAATCTGAAAAGAATGCACACTCCTTCACAACCTGAAACCGGTAAAATCGCAGCAGCAGTGGTGGAATATCAGCATGTGAGTAACCCACTGTTGTACTTTGTGGAATCCTGTAGCTCAGAGGTTAGAGCACTCGCCTCGCAAGCGAGAGGACCTGGGTTTGATTCCTGGGCAGGACAAAACCTGAGGCAAGTCTCTTTACTCCACACACCTCTATTTACCAGCAGCAAGTAGGAACCCAGTTCTTAGTCGATTGGCCGATCACTTTTCTCGGTTAATAATCATTTTAAAAAAATAATAATAATTTGGCCACTCAATCTACGACTGTTTGTGGGACGCTGCTGTGCACAATCGGCTGCTGCATTTCACTCACAAAATATACAGAGAATTCACTTTACAGTATATTCTGTGAAGTGCTTTGATTCGTCTCGAAGATGCGATAAGGCGTTATATCAAATGCAAGGATTATTATTGTACTATTAGTAGTTGTATATTATTATATTTTTAGTATCATCATTATTATATTGTACAGAAACCTGAATACCCTTCTGATAGCAAGAAAGTGAAAAAAGCTGTGGCCAAACTGAAAGATGCCAAGGAGCTGTACGAAAACAAACTGAACATTCAGAGCGAAGCCAAAACCCGCTCGCTGAAAGACATTGAAGACCTTAGGTATCCAACTGCTTCACTCTGTTCTGTAAAGTCCCAAGATACGATTCTACAGGAAGAGAACTATATACAAAATAACAATAATAATAATAATCTTATCACTCAATCCACTATTAAACAGTGGGACACTGCTGTGCACAAATGGCTGTTGAGAGAGAGCACATACCATTCCAACCATTCCAACAACCTATCACTGGGATTCCTATGTGTAGGTGGAATTGGATTGGAGACTCTTAAGCACGGTGATGGGTTTCCACATTGTCAGATACCCGGCTGGGCAAATCCAAAAACAATGAAAAAATCTTCTTTGATGTATGTATCACAGTCCATTCCTCCTGTGCTGCTGTTTGTTGTAGAAAGTCAAGAGAGAAGATGGAAAAGAAAGCCACACAAGCCTTGGAGGTTATACTCGGGCCTATCCTGCGGGAACATGCCAAACGGAGGAAGGTGCGGCAGAAGTTTGCTGATGAGATGCCGTTCCGGAGCCACATGAACCTGCTGTTCGGTTTCACATACTTCAGTTTATTCATCAAGTCCATCGAACATCATTACAAACAGGGAGATCAGATCACAACTGTCATAAACAGGTACAGTCGACAGCACACAGTTAGTCATTAAATATGTCCAGGGAGATAGAGAGAGCACATTCCATTCTAACAATCTATCTTGGGGATTGCTATGTGTAGGTGGGCTGCAGGGAATTCTCAGTTGGGTTTGGAGACTCTTAAGCACAGTGATGGGTTTCCATATATGTCAGACACCCGGCTGGGCAACAATAATTAAGCAAGCAACCATGCAAGCAAACAAATATGCTAATGGCATTTTCACAATTTTTGTCACTAAACTCTACAATTTTTTTTAGTTTTAATCAAGTGAAATAAATGCCTATGAAATGTAAGGTAATCATGATCAAGTCATTGATAAACGTGAGCAAAAAAGGCTGTTTCGTTTTTTATCCTGGACCAAAGGAATAAGCGTAGTTTGAATTGATGATTTTATTTTATGTTTGTGTCTAGATATTCATTTTTGGATCCTGCCATTTTCTCTCTGTTTAACTGTGGCACTGTGTTGCTCAAGGACGAGGAGGATAAAAGCACACAAGTGACTATACATGAAAGCCTTAAATTACCACCAATAAGAAGGAAATTCAGTGGTATGTTATAATGAGATCCAAAAATGTACAAAATGTAAGCATCCAAAAATGTGTGTGGATATGTGTGGAGTCCTGTAGCTCAGTGGTTAGAGCACTCGCCTCACAAGCGAGAGATCTGTGTTCGATTTCCTGCCAGAGCGAAATGTTAGGGAAGTTTTCTCTCCTCCACACACCTCTATTTACCAGCAATAAGTAGGAATCCTGGTTGTTAGTCGATTGACGGATTGCTTTTCAGGGGTACTAATCCCTTCCAAAAAAAAAATTATAATTTGGTCACTCAATCCACGACTGTGTGTGAGACACTGCTGTGTGCAATTGGCTGCTGTGTTTCGCCCACAAAACATACAGTCAATTCACTTCACAGTATATTCTGTGAAGGGCTTTGAGACATCTCGAAGACGTAATAAGGCGCTATATCAAATGCCGAGATTATTATTATAAAAGACTTCCAAATCACTAGAATTAATCATTCCATTTTTCATCCTATTCTGGAGTGAATTAAGGAAGTAAATTGTTCACATTCATCCAATGACTCTGTTGCAAAATATACCAGAGTATTGTATAAATGCAAGTTGTTGTTGGTGTAGAGTTTTATAGTATTTATGCCAACTGTGATTTCTTGCCTTGTGTTATAACAAAAGCAACTTGGAGCAGGATCTCTGACGACAGTGAAAGCAATGACAATTCAGAATGTACAGATGCCAGTGAGGAAGATCAGGCTGAGGAAATGCTTTCAGAACATGAGGACGAATTAGCGACTATGGCTGAAATTCAGGATCAACTTGGAAAATCGTTCTTTTACTTCAAAAGAGCAGTGGTAACTTCATTGATAATAATAATAATCTTTGCTTTTAATACAGCACCTTATCACATCTTCGAGACGTTTCAAAGCACTTCACAGGATACACTGGAAAGTGAATTCACTGTATATTTTGTGGGTGAAACGCAGCAGCCAATTATGCCATGGTTCGCTCACAAAAGTCACTCCACTTTACAGTATATTCTGTGAAGCATTTTAGATGTCTTGAAGGTGTGATAAGGCGCTACATTGAATGCAAGGATTATTATTATCATGTTTTTTCAGGTACTTGCACATCGCTGCTACCTTTGGACAGCGCTGCAGAATGTTTGTCGAGGGATGTGGAACTGTGCACATGTTGCTGTGATGTATGTCACTGGTATGGAAGCTTTACCAGAACCCTATCCAGTAACAATAAAGCAAGTCCGAAGCATCTTCTCCCTACCATTTTACTTAGCTTCAGAAAATCTTCTGGATATGGTGGTTCACATGCAGAAAATATACAGTAACGTGAAGGTAGGTAAACATTGCAGTTTATTGTAATCTTTGTGGGACGCTGCTGTGCGCAGTTCGCTGATACATTTCGCCCACAAAATATACAGTCAATTCACTTTCCAGTACATTCTGTGAAGCGCTTTGAGACCTCTCAAAGACATAATAAGGCGCTGTATCATATGCAAGGATTATTATTATAATTATAATAATTGTATAATCATTTATACTTTTGTCAGGCTCATCAATTAACAGTTTTCTATTGAGTTATTAAATGGTACTAATTAACTCAAAAATATAATTACATCTCGCATGGTGATTAACAGTGGAATTCCTTTTCATTTTGTGCAGTTTGTTGACCCAGATGGCATCTTTGTGGCCCCAGGTTTTGTGGAAGGCATATCAGCCGATAAAGGAGGATTTAGTTTGAGATTTGAAAAAGAATTTGATGATATAAACGTGATGGACTTGCGTTTGGTGTGTGATATGGTGCTGTACACTTTGGAATTGCTGTACTTTGACGAACAGTGGGAGAGATTGACTGACTTGGCCATGCACTTCAATGCATTAACACAGTGAGTGCTGTTTTATATACTCCCAACATTAAAATATTTCTCTCCTCGTTGTTTACTGAACTGTCATTAGGTTTCTGCGGATGATTGACGAGGGGAAATTTTGTAAGTGGTTTGTTGCAACTCATTTTTACCGTGGAGTCCTGTAGTGTGGTTAGAGCACTCGCCTCGCAAGTGAGAGGACCTGGGTTTGATTCCCGGACAGGGCAAAACCTTAGACAAGTTTCCTTACTCCACACGCCTCTGTTTACCAGCAGTAAGTAGGAACCTGGTTATTAGTCGATTGGTGGATCCCTTTCCGGGGTAATAATCCTGAATAAAAAAAAAAGAATAATTTGGACACTCAATCCATGAGTGTTTGTGGGACACCGCTGTGCACAATTGGCTGCCGCATTTTACCCCCAAAATATACAGTCAATTGGACACCAATTGGAAAGTATGTTGCTGTATTTCTTTCTCCTTGTCTCTTGTTTCTCAGTGAAAGATTCATTGAGAAGGTGACGCCTGTTCTAGTGTATGCTCAGAGACAGCTGATGAAAAGGATACGAGAGTTCAATGGCCCAGATCCTCCCCAACCCCATTTGTTACAAACCACAAAGGATTCAAAAGACTACGTAAGTCTCTCCTTCATCTGTCACAATCTTACTTCCCAACAATGTTTGATGGAGTACCACATGAAAGACTCCTTTAGTTTTACTAAATATTACTAATAAAAAATAATAATAATTCTGGTGGTAATAATTCCTTCTAAAAAACAATAATAATTTGGTCACTCAATCCACGACTGTTTGTGGGACGCTGCTGTTGCAGTTGGCTGCTGTGTTTCACCCACAAAATATATAGTCATTACACTTTACAGTATATTGTGTGAAGCGCTTTGAGACATCTTGAAGGTGCTATATCAAATGCAAGGGTTATTATTATTACGTTTTTAAATTCTTTATTTTTAAATCCACTACTGTTTGTGGGACACTGCTGTGTGCAATTGGCAATTGGCTGCGTTTCACCCACAAAATACACAGTCGCTGCACTTTACAGTATATTCTGTGAAGCGCTTTGAGACATCTCAACAACGTTTAATGTCAACTTCAACAATAATAATCCTTACATTTGGTACAACACCTTTCGCATCAAGAGGATGTCTCAAAACACTTCAAAGGATATACTGTAAAGTGGAGTGATTGTGTGTTTATAAGTGAAACACTTCATTATTCTGTGGCAAATAATAATGCAAGGATTATTAATGTGATGATTCTTTGCAGATAAATTCCAGATCATTTATTGCATCCCAGATGAAAATTCAGATGCCAATTATAGAAGTCGTCAATCAATCGTCAGATTTATGTTTTGGTAGGAACTTTCACACATTGTCTGGTTTACATATTTACCTACTTATTACCTACTCCTGGAGTCCTGTAGCTCAGTGGTTAGAGCACTCGCTTTGCAAGCGAGACACCTGGGTTCAATTCCAGGCAGAGGGCGAAACCTTGGGCAAGTTTCCTTACTCCACACAGAGCCTAATAATAATCCCTCCAAAACAATAATAAATTGGTCATTTTCAATGCACGGCTGTTTGTGGGTCACTGCTGTGCGCAATCGGCTGCCGCGTTTTGCCCACAAATATACGGTGAATTCACTTTACAATCTATTCTGTGAAGCGCTTTGAGATATCGAGAAGACGTGAAAAGCGCTATATTAAATGCAAGGATTATTTATTTGTTATTATTTATTTGCAACACTCTGCGGTTTGAGAGTTCTTACCTTATTGTAATTTTCTACCTTTTCTGTGTGTCATTTGGCTTGTATATTAATTATATATTTTTTGGTTAGCTGGGTGTCCCACAGAAGCGGAAACCCAGAGTCTCCAAACCAAGCTGAGAATTCCGTGCATCCCACCTATACATGGAAATCCCAGAGATAGATTGTTGGAATGGAGTGCACTCTCTCTCTTTCTCACTCTGGAGGAAAGGAGGGAGGGAGGGAGGGACACATCCTGCTTACCTAATTCTGGGAAGTATTAACTCCAAGGCTTGGAGACCCCAGTTGTGCGTAAAATACATATTTAGTTGGTCTCCAGTAAATCACAAAATGGAGCGAGTTGGAGTAGCAACAGGAAGCTTGCTAATATCAGTCATGGCAGGTTGTGTGGTTTTAGCTGATTGAGTCCTGTAGCTTTGTGGTTTTGCAAGCGAAAGGACCCGGTGGAGCGAAATGTTGGGCAAGTTTCCTTCGCCTTACTCCTTCCCTACCCCTCCACGTCTCAAGACCAACCGCGCCTTCGGCTACCCTCCTACCCCCACCCTCCCTGCCCTCCACCCCTCCTGATCCCACCCCCCAGCTCGGGTCCATATCCCTGACTGTCCCTGACTGAAGGCGCTGGGTAAATATCATTTGTTGTTGTTGTTTAGGGGTAACGAGAGCTAAAGCGTTGGTGGGAGTCCCGCTGGATGTGAATGATACATTGAGTTGTTTCAAAGACTCATTGAACAAGGCTCATTTTCTCAGTCGTATTCTCAGGCACAGCAGGAAACTGTTTACGTTGTACCTGGCTTACACACAGCAACGTAGGTGCAAATTCTATCATAATATTGAAATTGTGATTAATTCTACTACTGTCCTTAATTAGTTCTACCCATTCAGAGTTTAATAGTAACTTGTATAATAACTTTTACATGTGTGTAATATAAGTTAAAAGCAGACCTCCATATACAGGGGAAGCTTATATTTTATTTATTTATCAATGTGGTCAACAATCATCCAAGGAAATAATATCTGGGGATACAGTGTGTAGTTTCAGACATGACATATCAGCGACTGCCCGGAGGGAGGAAAGTGAACTGGATGGACCTTGGGCTTCTTTCATCATCAAATTCTTATGTTCTTAAATTGATCTTTCACCTCCTGGCTGTTTGTGGGACATCACTGTGCACAAATTGGCTGCTGTGTTCCTCTACACATGCAGTCACCATGCAAAACAGTTACTAATGTAAAGCATTTGAGATGTTTCAAAGTGATGAGGTGCTACTGAATGCAAGGATTAATATTATTATTAATAATAATAATAGTAAAATAAAGCTAACAACGATCAGTTATAATGCTTTTTCTGTTTATGTACATTTTAGAAAAACTCACAAGGCCTAAAGCCATTGGGTTCAAATTAGGAACAGCTCATATTGAAAGCTGTACACCTGACTTTTCAAATGAAGAGTTCCTTTCATTTGACTCCATCCAATCTAAGCCTGTACCTGAGTCCAGCCTCTCGCTGCCCATTTCATCCTATGATAAAACTATTGGTAAGTTCATTCATTTTTATTATTGATTTGTTATTTTAAATTGCGTGTGAAAATATAACTGTTTGTACAACACAAATGACATTTACACAGCGCCTCACACGTCCCAAGGCACTGGACAGTCAGCGATTTGGACCTGAGCTGGGGGTTGGGATCAGGAGGGGTGGAGGGCGGGGAGGGTGGGGGTAGGAAGGTGACCGAAGGCGCAGTCGAATAGGAAGGTCTTGAGACGGGCCTTGAAGGAGGCAAGTGAGGGGGCAAGTGGAAGGGTCTGTAGGATGGAGTGCGAAAGGGTGGGGGCAGAGAGGCTGAATGCCCGGCCGCTGATGGTGGGGCAGAGGGGACGAGGGACAAGCAGGAGGTCAGAGCCAGCTGAGCGGAGGCAGCGGCTAGTGGCCTGGGGAGTAAGCAGGTCAGAGATGTAGTGAGGTGCCAGGGCATGAATGGATTTGTAGACGTCATGTTTTAAATGTCATGTTTTATGTAAAAATGTTTCTCTTATGATTGTGCACAGAGCTGCTTCAAGCACACAGACAGAACTCGCTGAGTGCACAGGCTTTACATGAACTCGGAAACCTGCATTTCTGTGCAGGAAACAAAAGGTGATCTTGCTTTCAGTTTTTATTCACTTGGTTAAGGATTTGAACGAGTAATTAAACTGTTTTTTAGACTTTTTAAAAAGAAATGTGTCTGATTTCATGATATTTAGAGTCCTGTAGTTCAGTGGTCAGAGCACTCGCCTCACAAGCGAAAGGACCTGGGTCTGATTCCCGAGCAGGTCGAAACGTTGGGCAAGTTTCTTTACTCCACACACACACACACACACACACACACACGCCTCTGTTTACCAGCAGTAAGTAGGAACCCACTTGTTAGTCAATTGGCGGATCACTTTTCCGGGAGTAATAATCCCTTCAAAAAAATAAATAAATTAGTCACTTGAATCCACGGCTGTTTGTGGGACGCTGCTGTGTGCAAATTGGCTGCTGCGTTTCTTCCACAAAATAGACAGTCAATTCACTTTACAGTGTATTCTGCGAAGCACTTTGAGACGTCTCGATGACGTAATAAGGCGCTGTATCAAATGCAAGGATTATTATCGCTTTACTTCACTTTAAGTCTTGAAAGAAAGAACTCGCATTAAGTAAGAACCTTTTTGTATAGACTTTGTTCATATAGAGCTTAGCACATAACAAAACACAATAATTGGACAAACGCAAATACAAGTTCATGTGTAAGTTATTGTTAAATAGGCATTATTCTGCCAGTGAGAGGATTAATTGGCTGTTACATGAATAAATTGGATGGCTTTGTATTTCTTACAGATCATCTTTCATGTGTTGGTGCAAGGCTGTTGATGCAGCTTTAGATATGACGAACTTTCTCAGCAACTGGCGTCACTTGAAAAAAGATAAAGTGAACAGCGGTATCGAGTCACTGAAAACCTCCAGAGATTACAGTGAAATATTTTTAGACCAAGCTGGGATCTGGGGCTGTCTGCTCGCTGGAGTCTTAACTGCTAAAATAGCGCAGTGAGTATTATCTAACAGCAAAATACATTAACAATGAATTATATATATAGAATCTTACAGCACAGAAGGAGGCCATTCAGCCCATCGTGCCTGTGCCGGCTAAATGAAACAGCTACCAACTAGTGTCCCCACTCCCCCGCTCTTACCCAATAGCCCTGCACATTGTTCCTTTTTAAGTACCTATCCAATTCCCTTTTGAAAGTTATTGAATCTACTTCCACCAGCCTTTCAAGCAGTGCATTCCAGATTATAACAACCAATTATTTCATACCAATTTTTGAAATCTTGATGTTGTAATATTATTTGTTTATTAAGCTCAAATCCACTTCGGTTTCAACCTCTTAATGTCTCCCTGTTGTCTCCCTAAATGAACTAAATTAGAGTTTCATTTATGGAAAGGGGTTTATGACACCCCAATTAAAAGAATATTTCATTACGAAAACTCTTTCACAAACAATTTCACTTAAAAAATATTGAATCATTTACCCAGACTATCAGCTGTCAGGACAGTCAGGAACTGGAAAACTGGATGAATTACATTAACTACTATTCTCAGAAGTACTGACAATATTTCCTCCACCTGAATTGAAGAATTCTCTAAAATACACAGTTAGAACGTAAGAATTTGCTGGACGCAGGAGGACCGAGGTCCATCTTCAACAACAATAGCAAAATTACATTTGTAAAGCCCCTTTCACGTCGGGAGGACGTCCCAACTCATTCGCCTTCCACTATCCTGGCTGTCGCTTGACATGTCGTGTGCCAAACTGTACACTGTACCTCCAGATATTATCTCCTAACAGAAATCTAGCTCATTTGTTCTTGAAACAAACAACATTTTCTGCTTCCATCATCTGTCCCCCTAGGGAGCCTGTTCCATATGTTTACTGCTCGCTCCCTGAAGTTGTGGTTCCCCAGATTTGTTCTGATTTTACCCCCCTTCAATCACAGGCCATGGCCTCTGGTTCTGGTGTTCAGTATAAGTAGTTTATCATGTTATTAATACCCTGTGTTTATGATTTAGGTATTTTGCATCTTCAGATTTGAAGTTCAGACAGGATTGCTGCCTTGTATCAGCCCTGCTTTTTAAGGTAAAGTAACGGTTATAACAAACCTCACACTGTGTATGGTGCCTAGAATTTTATAATGAACCGTCTCACATTTACACATAGCAGATCTCACAAACAGCTGTGAAATGATGGTCCAGTTTATCTGGAGAATTGTTCACGTCGAGAGGACGTCCCAAGGCACTGGATAGTCAAGGACTTGGACCCAAGCTGAGGGTTGGGATCAGGAGGGGTGGAGGGCAGGGAGGGCGGGGGTAGGAAGTTAACCAAAGTCACAGTTGAAATATGCGTTACAAACATGTGATGTGAATAGCGAACAATCTAACTGTAACATTGTCACTTTCTCTCTGGCCACAGAGTCTGTTCAGGTCCACCCTCCCCTATCCCAGGGCAGATTATGAATATGCATCGTATGAAATAGGCGATGGATGGCCGACACATGAGCTGATTCCTGGAATTGATCTTTTCTCCGATCGATTCAGAATTGATGTACGCTCAGTGGTGGGCAGTTTGAGATTCGTGCTATATGAGCTGCATCGCACTGGGCAATACTTATTGGTAAGTACATCTTACAGTTACTAAAGGGACGTTAGTTATGTGGAGAGGCAGAGAGAAGCTGCGATTGTTCTTACAGCAGAGGAGGTTAAGGGGAGACTTAATAGAGGTTCACAATGATGAGGGGCCTTGATAGTGTAGATCGGGAGAAACTGTTTTCTCTGGCGGGTGGGTCAGTAATCAGAGGACACAGATTTAAGGTAGTTGGCCAAAGAATTAGAGGAGAGATGAGGAGAAATGCTTTTACCCAGAGAGTTGTTACGGTCTGAAATGCACAGCCTGAAAGGGTGGTGGAAGCAGATTCAATAACGACTTTCACAAGGGAATTGAAGAGGAAACATTTTCACGACTTTGAGTAAATTTTCAAGCGAGGGGACTGATTGGGTGGTCTTCCAAAGAGCTGGCACAGTCGCAATGGGCCAAACGGCCTCCTTCTGTGCTGTAAGATTCTATGATTCTATACTACAGTAAATCTCACATAAGTCGTATCAGTTGACGACATGACAAGATGCTATATATTCCACTTTACAATATATCCTGTGAAGCGCTTTGAGACGTCTCAATGACGTGATGAGGCGCTATATCAAACACAAAGATTATTATTATATCAAATAGAAGGATTATTATTATTTAAGATACAGTCTGCTTCAGAATATGAGCATAATTAATAACGTATATGTATTATACACACCAGGCTCTACCTTTGTTCACACTGTATCAATACTTTGTCACCACAATCTGCCATGACAAGCAAAGGAGTTTTGAAGGACGAATTCTTAAGGTAAGAAGACCCTGAGAGCTGTTAACATTTACAGATTGTGTGTTTGAGTTTATCTCATAAAGTATGATGTTTTGTATGACTACAAACAAAAAATAATAATTTGGTCACTCAATCCACGACTGTGTGTGGGACGCTACTGTATGCAATTGGCTGCTGTGCTTGGCCCGCAAAATATAGTCACTCCACTTTACAGTATATTCTGTGAAGCGTTTTGAGACGTCTCAAAGACGTGATAAGGCGCTGTATCAAATGCAAGGATTATTATATGACAGTGAAATTCATCATTCTACATGTTTGGTAAAGCCTCTAACGTTGCTAATATTTTATTCAGATTCAGTCATGTTTTTTTGGGGGACAGCTGGGTATCTGACATTCAGAAACCCATCACCACGCTTAAGAGTATAGGTTACAAATGTAATTTGTTGTTGATCCTGATATTCCAAGGAGGATATGTTTTGTTGAAATGTTTTGATTGTATTATGTTAAAATGAACTGTTAGCATACTACATGATAATTTTTGAGTGGATATTATTTTTCTGTTGACAGATAAAGGTTTTGACAGACTTGGCGTTCTTTGCAGAAGCTTTTAAAGAATTTAGTGTTGTGGTTCATGGAGAAAAGGTTCCACATAGAATTCTGGGCTGTTTCAAATACGTTGAGTCAAAGGTATTTAATTTACATTAGAGTGTTTGTAATTAATTTAATTCATTTCAGTTTTTGTTGAATCAGATATTTTCTAGCCTTCCCCTTTAGGTGGTAGCACTCTCACACCTGAGCCAGAAGGTTGTGGGTTCAAGCCCTACATTGGAATGTGGAACTCACATAATCGGAGCTGACTCTCCAATGCAGAGCAGGTGGTGCCGTCCTTCAGATGAGATACTAAACCAAGGTCCTGTCTGCCTATTCACGTTAAAAATCCCATGGCAATATTTTAAGAGAAGGGAGTCTCTCTCTCCCGGTCTCCTGGCCAACAATCCTCCAAATAAAATTGGTCACTTACTTCATGGGGCATTGCTATGCTCAAATTGGCTGCTGCATTTTGCCCACAAAGCACACAGTCATAACACTTTATAGTGTATCCTGTGAGGCACTTTGAGATGGCTTCCTGACATAAAAGGCGCTGTACCAAATGTAAGGATTATTATTATTGTTCCTGTAGTTTCATCCATTTCACCCATATCATGCTACTCAAACACTGTCCACTAGATGTTGTGAGAGAGTGTTCCAGAAATGTGTCCCCTCCAGGCTTCTGCGCTCTGTGTAAGAAAACATCTCCTCCTGCATTGCAGTGTCAGCTTAGACTATGTGATTCCAAGTTCTGATGTGAGTCTTGAACCCACAACCCTTCTGACTTGTTTTGCCAACAAAATACCCACTCACTACACTTCACAGTATATTCTGTGAAGCGCTTTGAGACGCCTCGAAGACCTGATAAGGCGCTGCATCAAATGCAAGGATTATTATTATTATTATTATCCCCACAGTAACATGCCTCAGATTGCTGTCTCTCACTCTGTGAGTAAATCCTGGCGTGTGTCATTCTGGGTGTGGCATGCTGTGTATTTTGGTTGCTCTTTTTATAGAGATAGGACATATTAGTGAAGCATTATAGGCATGTGGTCACATTGCTAACACTCTCTCTCTTTTGTAGAATCAAATGTTATTTCACAATACAAAATCACTGATGGCTGAGAACAATATCATGGTAAATATTTGAATCACTATATGATTGAGGTAGCATTTCATTGGATTTTGTTTAAGTTCTCATTCATTTGAAGTACATCCAGTTGCAAATAAATTCTATCATTATTCTAGGATTATTATCCCCAGATCGCTTCCCTTAAAAAAAATAAAAAAATATAATGTAGACACTTAATGCACGGCTGTTGTGCACAATTGGCTGCTGCGTTTCGCCCACAAAATGTACAGTCAATTCACTTTACTGTATATTCTGTGAAGTGCTTTGAGACGTCTCGATGACGTGATAAGGTGCTATAGCAAATGCAAGGATTATTATTATTATCCTTTCACTGTTTACTCCACAGGTACTCCAGGAATTACTTAACAGCAGTCCGCCCCCGGACTTGTGTAAACTTTATGGTTCACGTCTTATGAATAAATTTAAAATTGCTCAAACGCATTTTCTCATCAAAATTGCTGAAACCATACACCAGCTGCCGACAACTATCAGTGAAGAAAGTCAGAGCTTACCCAGGCAAACTATTGAAGGTAATTTGTTATCAGTAATTTATATATATTTTAATTAATTCTTAGGACCACCTAAAAGACATGCTCAGGGTGGGGGTGTGTCTTATTAATTATTGATGGATAATATTTACCTTTAATTGACATTTCTTGGAATCTTAGTAGCTCAGTGGTTAGAGCACTCACTCTGCAAGCAAAAGGACCTGGGTTTGATTCCCCCGGGCAGGGCAAAATGTTGGGCAAGTTTCCTTATCCCACACACCTCTGTTTACCCAGCAGTAAGTAGGAACCCAGCTGTTGGTTGATTGGCGGATCACTTTCCAGGGATAATAATCACTTCAAAAAAAATTAATAAATAATAATAATTTGGTCACTCAATCCACAGCTGTTTGTGGGGACGCTGCTGTGTGCAATTGGCAGCTACGTTTCACCCACAAAATACACAGTCAATTCACTTTAGAGTATATTCTGTGAAGCGCTTTGAGTCGTCTCGAAGACGTGATAAGGCGCTGTATCTAATGCAGTGGTTATTATTATTTTAATTTGTTTGATTTTCAATGATCTCTGATTTTACAAATGGCTGATCTCTGTGTTGTAAGGTTCCTGCTGATGTCTCTTCCTGCGGAATATAACGCATTAAATTATTAGTTTGTTAGTTGATAAAAGTATATAATTTTATATAATGGAGCTTAAAACATAATGTCCAGCAGGACAGTCCAGTACGCAGTTTGGTCAGAGTCATTTATCTGCAGCACAGTGTCATGTCATGGGAGCACTATAGCATTGTGAGTCACTTCAGTAGCCAGTTGTCAAGTCATTTTCATTTGGTTGTGATAACTACTGTCCCTTGCGTACACCATTACCTTTTTATATTCCATAAAGAAGACAGAGTTATAGATCTTGATGTTGCTATGCCTCATCTCATCATTGAACATACACAGCCCCGAAATCCAATTGTACCACAATATGAGAGAAAAGTGCAAAAAAACATGAAAATCGATCTCCTCTCCTACAAGATGATGACTCCGTCCAAACTGAAGGTAATGATGATACCTGATCCACTGTGGATTTAAGTGCAGAGTCCTGTAGTTCAGTGGTTAGAGCATTCACCTCACAAGCGAGAGGACTCGGGTTCTGTTTCCAGGCGGGGCAAAACCTTTGGCAAATTTCCTTACCCCACACACTTGTAGCAGTAAGGAGGAACCTGGTTGTTAGTCGATTGGCGGATCGCTTTTCCAGGGAAAACCCTCCCCCCAAAATAACCAATAATAATTTGGTCACTCATTCCACAGCTGTTTGTGGGACGCTGCTGTGTACAATTGGCTGCCTCATGTTGCCCACAAAATATACAGTCAATTCACTTTACAGTATATTCTGTGAAGCGCTTTGAGACGTCTATAAGACATGATAAGGTTCTGTATCAAATACAAGGATTATTATTATTATTAATTGGATGGTACAAGTTAGAAGAATATTGCTTATTTGTTCCTCTTAACATTTTTTTTGGCAGGGAATTCTGTTGACCGAGGCAGAATTTCAACTGAATGCTTTGGTGCTCGCTGTAAAAAAGGAATATAAAGGCACTGATTTCACCAAACTTCCTGCCGTTGGGTTAGAAATTATCATTGAGGCCAAACTACAATATGCAGCGATCTCTCTCCAGAGGCTTCATGTAGCATTTAGGTATTTAAGTGCTTTGCAACAATGCACCAATGTGATAAGGTGTTATATCAAATGCAAGTATTATTATTATAAGAATGAGTTGATGAGCTCACACAAAGACATGCAGCACATATTTGTGTGAGCCCCATCTTCGAGAAGAGTTTCTCTCTCCCAGTGTGCTAGCCAACAATCCCCCAAATAAAATTGGTCATTTACTCCTTAGCTGTTCGTGGGAAATTGCTGTGTACATATTGTGTTAATTAGTCAATCTACAATTAGATTATGTCAAAACGTAAAGGGAATTGGACAGGTATTTGAAAGTAAAAATGTGCAGGGTTATGAGGTAAGAGTGGGGGAGTGGGACTAATTGGGGTAAGAGCGGGGGAGTGGGGAGTATTTGGGGTAAGAATGGGGGAGGGGGACTAATTGGGGTAAGAATGGGGGAGGGGGACTAATTGGGGTAAGAGAGGGGGGGTGGGACTAGTTGGGGTAAGAGTGGGGGAGTGGGACTAATTGGGGTAAGAGGGGGGAGTGGGGACTAGTTGGGGTAAGAGGGGGGAGTGGGGACTAGTTGGGGTAAGAGGGGGGAGTGGGGACTAGTTGGGGTAAGAGGGGGGAGTGGGGACTAGTTGGTAGCTCGATGGCCTGAATGGCCTCTGTAAGATTCTATGATTCTATGACAAGACTGCGGCTGATTTAAACCATTGACAAATTCAAGGATTATTATTATTATTATTATTAACTGTCGTGTCCCCTGTTCAGTGCTGCCATCGCTCTCTCTGCCATCGAGCTGCTCAACAAAAGTCAGATCTACACGAAGGACAAACTCACTCGCTCAGTCGCATCCTCCTCAAAAATGTCTGCAACCAAAACAAGCCCAAGCCAGGTACGCTGGAGAGCGAGCAATCAATCCAACATCTGTGCTGAGCCTCACCAAGACAGCATCACATCATGTCTTCAGCTTCTGTCAGATAATAATAATAATCTTTCTCAAAGCGCTTCACAGAATATACTGTAAAGTGTAGTGGCTATTATTTTGTGGACGAAACGCGGCAGCCAATTGCACACATTTTTTTTGTTGTTATCACAGTAAAGACTTTTTTTCCCCTCAGCCTCCGGAAAAGAATGCTGACAGCAGCCCCGGCCAACAGTGCCACAATGTGGAAGCCCACGAACGCATAGATATCCGTCTTTGGCTAAAATGTCGGTTGGCTTTTGTGACCGCGTTGACTTCTCATGTGTACGGTGTGGAGCTCAACAAAGGTAATCATATCGCCATTCCTCATTGTCCAATTTCTGATCATAATAATAATATAATAATACAATAATAATCCTTGCATTTGATATGAGATTCTCACTCTACCAGATGCCAAGATAATTCTCCACATTACCAAGTTTATACTCCAATTAAGATTGGAGTGAATATTCCCAGCTGTTGAGTTGCAATGATCCAATTCTAGTTTGCAAAGCAGATTGTGAGCAGATATTTTGTTTTCAAAACTTAGCTCGCTCAGCGCACTTTACAAAGAAAAATACTGTGACGTATCATGTCAATGTTGCAGAGTAATTATCTTTAGCTAACAATAACAAATTGCACTTGTAAAGCGTGTTTCACATTGCGAAGACGTCCCAAGACGTACATTTACAGAGCGTGAGTGATGTTGAGAACTAGTGATGAGGAGGATGGCATTACAGAAAAAAACACATGGGTAAAAATCAACTTTTTTTTCAAAATTTAGAGAAAGATTCCATCCTAGAGACGTCCCTGTTGTGTGCTGAAGGGGTGGAGGAAGCCAAAGCCTGTGGTGATATTGAGATGCAAACTGAATTTATACTGCAGACTGTCCTGCTTTATCTACAACTGGGACAATTAAAGAGCGACATCAAGATCCTTCTGCAGGTCAGAGGATACAATTTAGCTTTTAATAACAATAATAATCCTTGCATTTGATTCAGTGCCTTATCACGTCATTGACATATCTCAAATATACTGTAAAGTGGCAGTTTCGCACAGCAGTGTTCCGCAAACAGTCGTGGATTGAGTGACCACATTATTATTATTTTTTTTTGAAGGGATAATTATCCCTGGAAATCGATGTGCCAATCAACTAACAACTGGTCAATTGCTAGTGGGAGAGAGTGAGTGTCACACCAACTCCCTGTGTGTAGTATAAATTTCTGCTCTGTAGCTTGGTGCAATCTTAGCGGAGGTATATTGCTCATATTAAAGTAGTGTCGACAAATTTGCAGAATTGGATGAAACACATCACCTATAATCTAAGCAGCAACGCTGCAGAATCCATCCATTCATTAAAAAAGTTTTATATTTTGAATATTATTTTGCACTTTTAAAAAATGTTATTTGTGTGTGTTCATTGATAAACAGAATGCGGTGGATTTACTGAACGGAAGACAGTTTAATTCACACCGAGCCAAAATTATGTTGGCACAATCCCTGATTCAATTGGCTGATTTAAAATCACTGGAAACCGATGGCAAGCTGAGCACCACACAGAACCGGATAGACCTGTGCATCTCTGCCCGAAACCTGCTTGTTCAGCAGGTAAACATTTTCAGTTTTTAAATTCCAATATTCCAATAATAATAAAATATGTTTTTTTTAAAGTTTACGGACTTCACAATCTGAGAGCTTTCAAGGTACCACAAAAGGAGTGAGGCCAATGGGGTTCATCCCCATCTGTAAATGATAATAATATAATATAACAACAAAATTATATTTGTATAGCGCCTTTCACGTCACGAGGACGTCCCAAGGCACTGGACATACAGACAGAGTTTCGGACCCGAAATAGGAGTCAGGATCAGGGAGGGTGGAGGGCAGGGGGGGGAAGGAAGGTGACCGAAGGCACTGTCAAAGAGGAGGGCCTTGAGATGGGTCTTGAAGGAGGTGAGGGAGGGGGCGAGATGGAGGGGACTGTGGGATGAAGTTACAGAGGGTGGGGGCAGAGTAGCAGAAGGCCTGCCCGCCAATAGTGGGGCGAGCGAGGCAGGGGACGTGTAGCAGGCCAGAGCCCTCTGAGCGGAGGGAGCGAGCAGGATGGTAGGGGTTAGGAGGTGGCAGAGGTCGGGGGAGCGAGACCATGGAGGGCTTTGAGGGTGAGGACCAAGATCTTGAACTGTATCCTCTGTGTGATGAGAAGTCAGTGGAGTTGGGCGAGGATGGGGGTGATAGGGTCACGGAGGCTGACAAGCAGGGAGTTTGCATAGTCAAGCCTCAATGTAATGAAGGTGTGTATGAGTGTTTTGGTGGCCTAATAATAATAAAATAATAACAATAACAATATAATAATAATATAATAATAATGTAATAGCAACAACAACATTTTTTATGTATAGCGCCTTTCACATCAGGAGGATGTCCCAAGGCGCTGGATACTATTATAATAATAATATAACAATAACAACAATAATAACAATAATAATATAATAACAATAATAATAATCCTTGCATTTCATATAGCACCTCATCACGTCTTCGGAAATATACTGTGAAGTGAATTGACTATATATTTTGTGGGCAAAACGCGACAGCCAATTGCTCACAGCAGTGTCCCACAAACAGTCGTGGATTGAAGTGACCAAATTATTATTTTTTTAAGGGACTATTATCCCCTGGAAAAGCGATCCGCCAATTACTAACAATTGGGTTCCTACTTACTGCTAGGTAAACAAAGGCGTGTTAATCAAGGAAACTTGCGTAAGGTTTCACCCTGCCTGGGAATCTAATCCATAGTGCATAAGGCGTAAACACTAGAACATATTACTGAGTGACTTTATTTCTGCTTTTTACCGATAGCTTTTTCTGATGGGAGAATTAGTTGAACAAATTCCTGATGATAATTGTTTCACTCTGGTGGTGCCTTTGAAAAATATCTACTTTCCACAGCTTTCCGTGCTAACCAAAGTTAAACTGAGACTAGGTAAGTGCACACAGTGACAAACCTTTTTCTGAATGGCCCAGATGTGTTTTTGTACATAGATTTAGCTTATATTTAACAACAACAAAGACATTTACACAGTGCCTTTCACATCAGGAGGACATCCCAAGGCGCTGGACAGTCAGGAATTTGGACCCGAGCTGGAGGTTGGGATCAGGAGGAGTGGGAGGGTTGGTTGGGGAGGGCAGGAATGGTCTGGGGGGGGAGAGGGTGGCCAAAGAAACGATCAAAGTGGAGGGTCTGGAGATGGGACTTGAAGGAGACAAGGGAGGGAGGTGATCGGACTCTGGATGGAGTTACAGAGGATGGAGACAGACAGGCTGAAGCTTGACCACCAATGGTGGATCTACTATTTAGTGCCAATTTCAGCCTGCGATGACACAATAATCTTGTGTCACCTGAAGCATATTCAGGACGTAAGCTTCTGCAGTGTTATCAGTTCTATTTGTCATCCTATTGAAGGGCACGCTTTAGCAAGGAAGGCTTTACATGACAGCAGCAAAACCAATTCATCCCCTTGGATCCCAGCGCTGTCGGAACTGAAGGCAACGTTAGATATTTGGGAAGCCACGGCCACCAGGGAGTTCAATTTAGAATCTGATATCCTCTTCCAGAAAGGTAACCCGGCTTTGTGCAACTTTATATTTTGTTCATTTTGTTGGATGTTAAGAGATCCTTTTTGAAGGATAGGCAAATAATTTATTTGTGCAGAGTAAGGAAACTTGCTAAGGTTTCACCCTGCCTGGTAATCAAACCCAGGACTTCTCACTTGCGAGGCGAGTGCTCTTCACAACGCGCTACAGGACAATCCTCAAGAACATACGCTGCACCTCTCCATAGCTCCAATACCCTCTATAATGTGCCATAAACTACACACATTATTGCAGCTATGGCTTAAGCAATATTTTAGGCAGATTCAATAATACTTTCTTCTGTGTTCAAGAAAATATATTAATATTTATGTTTTGGTTCAGAAAAATAACTGCATTGTGTATTTTCGGTGAATATTCTGAAGCAAAGTGGGATTTCCATTAACAACATCACATGCTCTCCGGGACTCTGCCCCTGTGAAGGGTGCTACATAAATGCAAGTGGAGTCCTGTAGCTCAGTGGTTGGAGCACTAGCCTTACAAGCGAGAGACCTGGGTTTGATTCCCGGGCAGTGCGAAATGTTGGGCAAGTTTCCTTAATAATAATCCTTGCATTTGATATAGTGCTTTTCACATCGGGAGGACGTCCAAAAGTGCTTCACAGAACACACTGTAAAGTGAGTTGACTGTATATTTGTGGATGAACGCGGCAGCCAATTGCGCACAGCAATGTCCCACAAACAGTCGTGGATTGAAAATGACCAATTTATTATTGTTTTTGGTTTTGGAGGGAATATTATTAGGCTCTGTGTGGAGTAAGGAAACTTGCCCAAGGTTTCGCCCTCTGCCTGGAATTGATCTCAGGTCTCTCACTTACAAAGCGAGTGCTCTAACCACTGAGCTACAGAACTCCACGCCACACACCTCTGTTTACCAGCAGTAACCGGTTGTTAGTCGATTGGCGGATTGCTTTTAACAGGGGTAATAAAACCTTTTCAAATTTTTAAAAAAAAAATTGGTTGCTTCAATCCATGACTGTTTGTGGGACGCTGCTGTGCACAATTGCTGCCACAATTTGCCCACAAAATATACACTCGATTCATTTTACAGTGTATCCTGTGAAGCGGTTTGAGACGTCCCAATGACGTGATAAGACGCTATATCAAATGCAGAGATTATTATTATTGTTATAAATTGTTGTTATAATTTAGTAATGATATTTCTGTTTGCTTATTTAGGAAAGGTAGAGCATCAGCTGCTGGAAATCACTGAAGACCCCAAACTTGAAGGTGCTAAATCTCTATTAGACGGCATTAACGTCAACCTGTTTAATGAACACAACCTCTGGTAAGTTCTATTGGAGTAGATTATTCCCTGCACTGGTTACCTCAGGCATAAGAAACAACAAAAGATATTCTGACCCAATGGAGCCACTCCAAGACCCAAGACGTGGAGTCCTGTAGCTCAGTGGTTAGAACACTCACCTCACAAGCGAGAGGACCCAGGTTTGATTCCCAGACAGGGTGAAAGCTTAGGCAAGTTTCCTTACTCCACACACACGCCTCTGTTTACCAGCAGTAAGTAGGAACCCGCTTGGGATGTTATCCCAACGTGAAAGGCGCTAAACAAATGTAATTTTGTTGTTGTTAGTCGATTGGCGGATCGCTTTTCCGGGGGTAATAATCCCTTCAAAATAATTTAAAATTTGGTCACTGGGACGCTGCTGCGTGCATTCAGCTGCTGTATTTCGCCCATAAAATATGCAGTCAATTCACTTTACAGTATATTCTGTGAAACACTTTGATACGTCTCGAAGACGTGATAAAGCGCTGCATCAAATGCAAGAATATTAAAGGCAGCAGTTAGCCAGTCAGTAAACCTGACAATTTAGTAAAATAATAATAATAATATTGCTGTTCTATATAATTTTTCTATTCTGAATCTTATTATTGATTATTCTTAGCAAATATTAAAATTCTTATTTTATGCCCATATTATAGGTATTTTCAATGTCGTGCTACAGAATGGAAATTATATATTGTTAAAATTAGGAAAATAATAATAATTCTTAATAATAATCTTTGCATTGGATATAGCACATTAATATTTTTTATTATTATTTGAGACGTCTCAAAGTGCTTCACAGGGTATACTGTAAAGTGGATTGACTGTGTATTTTGTGGTCGAAACACAAAAAAATGAGAAATCTGTAACAAAGTATTGTTTTATCGCAGGTTGATAAAGCAGTCATACCTGGAAATCGCGTTGATTTACCTGCGTGTGTCTGCTGAGCTGGACCGGGAAACAAAAACAAAACCTGAAGCACCTGTAGAGAAATTGACAACATCTAAAACAGGTTCAAAACGTCCAAAAAGAAAGGTAAATGCACAATGACAATTGCTGTAGATGCTGGTAATCCCTTTACAATCAGAAAGACATCTCAAAGTACTTCACAGGATTTACTGTCAAATGGAGTGACTGTGTATTTGTAGGCAAACATGGCAGCACAGTTGCTCACAGTAATGTCTCACAAACACCTCCTTGCCCTAGACCATTGCTGACTTAATTGGCTGCTGTGTTTGCCTATAAAAACATTGACTGTATTTGACAGGAATACCTGTGGTGCAGTTTATGGCATCTGAAGTGCTGAAGAACTCTCAAACTGCAAATCCTGTCTTTCACATTTTGACAGAAAGACTATTCACAAGTCGTTTATTTCTGTGCAACTGGTTCAGCTTATTTTCATGTTTTATCTACACATAGATGTGATGGTATTAACAAAATATCTTTTACATATACATACATTGATGTCCTCGACTGGAGTTTCAGGACATTACTGGAGCTCCTCTGCCACTGAGCCAATTTGTGACTTTTTATTCCCGTTCAGCGTCCAGTGTTGTTCCCTTGTGTCTCAGAGACTGATATTTGCTTCCCTGAAGACATAGGTAAGAAGAAGTTAAATCAATCTCAAACCATTCCCAATTTGAATAAGCAGGTGTCAGGGTTTATCTCTTACCCCCTCCCCACGCCTCGGCATCGTGCTCCACTCTGGGACGCTACCCTGCGTGAGGGGTGCGGTGCAAATGTGAGTTGTAGTTGAAGCAAGCTGTGCCTTCAAGCTCTGACTATCATTCGTTTTTTATATGGCTACGGTTTCTGTAGCCGCAGCGACACACAAACTCCTGGCCAAATAGCCAGAGATGTGGTCAGAGACGTCACTGAGCAGTAATTGGAGATGAAGATGATTCTACAAGGGACAGAATGGACGGAGGAATGAATTGAAACAGTTGAAGAGCTCTGAGTGTTTACGGCATGTCAGAGGAGAAGGTCTCCCAGCTGTTAGAAAGGGAGTGAACCATTCTGTGAAAGTTGAAGATGTGGACGCAGGAGTTTTTGGAACAGACTGTGGGTGTTTGGAATGTCTAAAGAGTCTGAAGGTTCAGCTTTTCATCCAAACTTTCCGAGCCAGGTCTGACCATTCTGTCTCCACGTGAAAGGGCTGTGTGATAGGGCAGAACCAAGGTGCAACTCCATAGTCTACAATGACAAGTTACCACAGTCTCAATATATAAACAGAGATATACAATATACACAGTCCCAATCTGTAGTTAATGCCCAAATATTGATGAATCAATACTATTAAGAATCTGCTCTGAGACAAAGACATTATACACACCATGGTCAACATAGACAACCTTTACATCGATCACCAGGAGCCTCTGTGTTGATTGTTTCTCCAGACGTGACTGTTTAACTTCATGTTATTCTGGACTGATCCCTCCACCCTCACAGCCATCAGTGCAGCAACCTCCTGCGATCCATCTCTGGTAGTGTACAGGGCCTCACACGCTCGCCAATAAAAGCTGATTTCTCTCACGGAGCATCAAGTGGCTGAACCACACCAAGTGTCCAGGACAGAATTGACCCGACTGTCCATCACCGGCAGGACTGCCCAGTGACCACCCAGAGGCAGGACAAGGAAAGCAAGGTCCCAGGGTAGGGCAAGCTGGTGGCCTGTCAGTCCTGTGTGTGCAAACTGTCCTCCTTTCTGTTTCTGATCTCCTGGGGATGCAGTGGAGAAGCTCCATCCCAACAATCTATCTCTGGGATTGCCATGCTGGGGGGGAGGTATGGAATTCTCAGTTGGGTTTGGAGACTCTTAAGCACAGTGATGGGTTTCCGTGTGTGTCAGACACCCGGCTGGTCACGGTGATGGGTTTCCCTGTGTGTCAGACACCCGGCTAGTCACGGTGACGGGTTTCCGTGTGTGTCAGACACCCGGTTGGTCACGGTGATGGGTTTCCGTGTGTGTCAGACACCCGACTGGTCACGGTGATGGGTTTCCCTGTGTGTCAGACACCCGGCTGGTCACGGTGACGGGTTTCCATGTGTGTCAGACACCCGGCCGGTCACGGTGATGGGTTTCCCTGTGTGTCAGACACCCGGCTGGTCACGGTGACGGGTTTCCGTGTGTGTCAGACACCTGGCTGGTCACGGTGACGGGTTTCCGTGTGTGTCAGACACCCGGCTGGTCATGGTGACGGGTTTCCGTGTGTGTCAGACACCCGGCTGAGAAAAAATATCAACGTTGGGACAAAGTTGTGGCATTCTTAAACTCTGATATCACCTGGGATAAACAAGGAATGTTTGCAAATAAGGGTCTTATTTGCAATTGCAATAACAGATTTCTTAATAAGAAAATATATTATTATTGAATTTCTAAACATCGAATTCTAAGATATTCATTGTCAAAGTTTTCCTTGTTTTTTCACAATCTGACAGCAAATTCCATCATTTGATTCGCAAGCTAAAAGTTAGTACAGTGAGTTCAAGGTACAAATATCTGATTTTCACCTTTAATTTAAACAGTTGTTGTTTTCCTTTTTTTTCCTCTTGTACTTAGATTCTGTCATCAGCTTGTCTGGCTCTTCACAACCCAGCTTCACTCGTCTGGTTTTATTGTTCACTTATTATTCTTTTCTTGTCTTACAGCCACAACCTTGCTTTTGGAACTAATCAATTTGAACTCTGTCTGTGTTGTTTGTCCTTCTATGTTCTTCATAATCTTCCTTTGATGCTATTTAATCACACAAGACAGTGATGTTTAAACTGTTATGATGTAGACATCTGTGTCCCAGAAACAGCCAACTTTATAGTCTTAGACCGTAGCTGCTCTGCTTGTTTTAGGTGATGTTTTTGACCCTGTTTTATATGGAAGGTGAGAAATAAACGTTTGTAAAAACATTAGTAGCTGCGTAAAAAAATTGTTTTCCTTTCTTTCTCTCTAACCTTCTTCTTGTTTTTTGACACTTCCCCACATTCAGCTCTCCTTCAATGGAGCGGTAAGTGAAATGCTCTTTATGCTCTCTTTATGCAACTCTTGATTTGCTGGAAAATCATAGAATCCTACAGCACAGAAGGAGGCCATTTGGCCCATAGTGACTGTGCTGGCTCTTTGAAAAGCGCTACCGACTAGTCATAGTCACAGAAATGTGAGCACTGAAGGAGGCCATTCAGTGATATAAATCTATTGTTGGTGTTTTGGCTTTTAGCTACTTTTACCTTAATACTGGGCCTCCTAAAGTTCCCTTCAAATGTTATTTTTCCTGCTTCAACAGCTGATTTTCGCAATACATTTTATGTTCAAATAATTGTCTGGATGTAAAGTTTCTTCCGACATCCTACTCCAGTAACAAGAGTTTGCGGCAATAGCTACCTGATTACTGATCAGCAGAAATAATCTTTCCACAGTTTGTCCTCTCTCAAGCTTTGATTATGTGGAATCCCTCTCTTTCTCCTCCAATTGTACTCTGTTTAAGTGAAAACAAGTTTATTTTCGAGACTGTCTTCCTATCATATCTATAATACCTCATCCTTGGTATCATCTGAATGGACCTGTTCTGTACTGTTCCCACAGCTGTGATGTCTTTTCCATAAAGGGCTACAAAACCCTATTCTAGACTGTTATCATATTCCTTCAGCCTTCAGTAACCTCCATTTTATTTCTCACTAACCTTCTTCTTGTTTTCTGACCCTTCCCCACATTCAGTTCTCCTTCAGTGGAGAGGTAAGTGAAATGCTCTTTATGCTCTGTTTATCCAACTCTTGATTTGTTCACTTGAAGGTCATAAAATCTCTGTCACATTGCCCGCCTTCCCCCCACAACATACATAAAAGTCTCGGCTATGCCTTCATCACTTCCCGGCTGGACTATTCCAATGCCCTCCTTGCTGATTTCCCCAGCTCCACCATACACTGAATCCAATTAATCCAAAACTCCGTCACCCAGATACTCATCCGCATGAAACTCCATAATCCCATCACCCCAGCCCTCGCCAGGCTCCACTGGCTCCCAATTAACGAATGGATCAATTTCACGATCCTCTCACTCGTTTTCAAATCCCTTCCTGTCCTGGCACCTTCCTACCACTCTGATTTGCTTACCCCCCCCACTCCACCACCCGGTGCCTCCGCTTCACTGACTCCAGCCTCCTGTTTGTCCCTTAATTCCTCCTCTCCACCATCGGTGGTCATGCCTTCAGCTACTGCGCCCTGAAACTCTGGAACTCTCTCCCTAAATCCCTCCACAGTAAGACTGGAATTTCAATAACTTGATTTCTTTTTCAATCAGATTACAGGCAAAGGGAGATTAAATGAAATACTTCTACAAATTTTGAAGCATTCCCCAAAATACATATTGCCAGCGTGGATTGCTCTCCGAGCCGCCAATCAGGTTTGTGATCACTGTTCCAATAGAGTTTCACCCACAATCGTATTGTATAACACGATTCTTCAATGATCCAATGTCTACAATTCATTATCAATATATTTATGTATGGAGTTCTATACAAATTGAGTATCTATCCCATAGCTCCTGGTATTGTGGAGTCCTGTAGCTCAGTGGTTAGAGCCCTCGCTTCGCAAGCGAGAGGACCTGGGTTTGATTCCCGGGCAGAACAAAACCTTAGACAAGTTTCCTTACTCCACACACCTCTGTTTACCAGCAGTCAGTAGGAACCCGGTTGTTATTGTTCTGATGTTGTTTGTTGTGTAGATCAGTGAAGCCATAACCAATCGACGGTTGCTCCCAGGAAACCCGTCCGTCGATGACCAAGGTCTGTTCCAGAAGACAAAACAGCAGATCCCACAGTGTGCAATCCTCGATATTCTAGCTTCATATGAAGATTTTCAGACTGGTAAGGATTCGTTGTGTAGCGTTGATTTACGCTCTGGGACGCTCCCCTGCATGAGGAGCGCTATATAAATCCAAGTTGTTGTTGTTGAGACATTGGCTTTAAAGCAAGAAATCAATACTCATTAATTGTGGAGTCCTGTAATGTATTGGTTAGAGCACTCGCCTTGCAAGCGAGAGGACCCAGGTTTGATTCCCGGGCAGGGCCAAACCTTTGACAAACTTCCTTACTCCACAGCTCAATTGAAAGAAGCGAGAGACTCTGAATTAGTCTTATATCATGAACTCAAAGTTTACTTCAGTTTTCAATTATCTCATTACAGACATAAATGAATTATTGCCCACCTTCACCACCATCCAAGGAGAAATGCTGACAAATGTACAAGGAAGCGAAGGAGAAAATAGTGAGGAAAATGCTGAAGGAAACTTTGAAGAAAATGTTGAAGTAGACACTGGAATAGTCATTGAAATTGAGGGAATGATTGAGAACCAAGAGGGACAGATTGGGGAACAGTTCGAGGGACAGTTTGAGCAAGAAGCTAAGGGGCAAGTTGGGGAAATGTTTGAGGAAACATTTGAAGGGAAGATGGAGGGAAAGACAGAGGAAAAAGATGAAGGAACAGCTGCGGGAAAGACTAAGGGAGAAAGTGAGAAAAAAATGGAGGAAGAGGTTGAGGGAAACGCTGAAGTCAAAGTTGAGGAAAAGACTGAGAGAAAAACTGAAGAAAATGTTGAAGAAGGTGATGAAGGCAAAATGAAACAAGACAAATATTCCATCATTTTTGAGAAGTATCAGAAGGAAGCCAGTCAACTGACAATGATTCACCTTCTGCGCTATAAGAGCCACCTATACAGACTGCAGAACATCAACCTACATTCTGGTAACAATGTCTTATCCATTTTCATCAGCATGGTGACACTGTGAACAAAAATCACCAAGCAAATGTTAAAAAATGTGTGTGTGATGTGAAAATCCTATAGTGGAGCCTATAGCTCAGGGGTTAGAGCCCTCGCCTCGCAAGCGAGAGGAACTGGGTTTGATTCCCGGCCAGGGCGGAACCTTAGGCAAGTTTCCTTACTCCACACACCTCTGTTTACCAGCAGTGAGTAGGAACCCGGTTGTTTGTGGATTGGTGGACCGCTTTTCCGGGGGTAATAATCCCTTCAAGGCACTTCTCAAAGACCCTCCTTGTTGACTGCACCTTCGGTCACCCTCCTACCCTCACTCTCCCTGCCCTTCACCCCTCCTGATTCCAACCCCCAACTCTGGTCCAAATCCTTGACTGTCCAGTGCCTTAGGATGTCCTCTTCCGTGAAAGGCACCGAGTAAATGTCATTTGTTGTTGTTGGATGCTTCAATTGCTGAAGAAATGCAAAACATTTTTCAGAACATTTGGTATTTTACAGATTTGCCGATTTCTTGAGTAATCTATTCAATTAGCCCAAATGGCTTTAAATGTGAAGTATTTTATGGCAATGAATAATCTAATTTTAAAAATATCAAATAATTGATGTTTATGATTCTATTAATATACTTTTTTTTAGCTGGATCAGAATTCAAATGTTTGAAGGAACAACTGGCAAAATACAGTAAGCAGTTCAATTCTACTTATAACGCTGCCAAGCCAGAAACAGAAACAGAAACAGGTACGTACATACTGAGTCCTGCAGCTCAGTGGTTAGAGCACTCGCCTCGCAAGCGAGAGGCCCTGGGTTTGATTCCCGAGCAGGGCGAAACTTTGGGCAAGTTTCCTTATTCCACGCACCTCTGTTTACCAGAAGTAAGTAGGAACCCGGTTGTTAGTCGATTGGTGGATCACTTCCGGGGATAATATTCCCTTCATAAATAATAACGATAATAATTTGGTCACTCAATCCACGACTGTGTGTGGGAACCTGCTGTGAGGTATTGGCTGCCACGTTTCACCCCCCAAATTTATAGTCAATTCACTTCACAGTCTATCCCTGTGAAGCGCTTTGCGACGTTTCAAAGACATGATAAGGCGCTGTATCAAATGCCAGGATCATTATTATTATAAAATAAATCTGTGGATTTTATCGAACATGTCATTTGTATTTTACATTCTTCTTCTAAAAGTTGATGAAATATTTTCCTTGCAGATGATGAGTCTCTCTCTCTGCACGCTGTGTTGGATGGACTTTGTACATCAGTGTTTGACACCGGGACTTCCCTGCGGCTGTTAGCGATGCACGAGTTTCTAACACAGAATGTCTTTGTGTATAGAACTACCTGCTGCGGAGAAACTCCACCCAAACCTCTCTCTGAATTGTTCGAAAAACCTCTCAGAACTTCAAGGATTATTCAAGAAGTAGTTTGTGTTTATGAACTCAATATTTCTCGTTGATTTCAATTTTTAAAACGTTTTTGAAAAGTATTAGCTTTTCTTGTTACGTTATTTGACTTTACTGAGACGTGTGCAAACGTGCAAAAACCTGTGTAGGCTTCACAATATGAGATAAAAACATAAGAATGTTTTGCTCTCAAAATATACAGTCAACGCACTTCACAGAATATTCTTTGAGACATCTTGAAGACATGAGAAGGCGCGATATCAATATCAATAATAATAATACTTGCATTTGATATAGTGCCTTATACCGTCTTTGAGACGTCTCAAAGCGCTTCACATGATACACTGTAAAGTGAATTGACTGTGTGTGCAAGGATTGATATTATTAAGAAAGCTAATATTGGTGCAATACGTCTGATCTATATTTTGAGATTGCAACTCTAGACCTGACAAACTAACAACTATGCTGGATTTGAGCACTTTAGCTATTTTTTCCTGTGTCTAAGATAATGATAAGAATGTTTCTCAATTTGACCTGCTTGCTCTTTTGCTCAGCAATACTACACCACAGTGTTTGGAGAATACATGATTGCATCCCCAGATGAAAGCCTCACTGCTTCCAAGTACACCAGCACTCACATCGGCAAGACAGTGAGTGCTCCCACTAAAGAGCTGTGTATCCAGTGGTATTTGCCAACCTTAGACAAACCTCCACAGATCTCAGAAAAACAGGTGATTTTAGCCGCCCTAAAACGCCCCATCTTGATTACCAGATGAACTGTTTACAGTCTTAAACTTTACAATTGATGAATATAAAATGACAAGTTTTATTTTGTTTTGAGAGAAATTCAGAAGAACTGTGTGAAAGTGGCTGCCGCGTTTCACCCAAAACACACAGTCACTGCACTTTACAGTGTATCCCGTGAAGCGCTTTGAGACGTCCTCCAGATGTGAAAGGCGCCCCATAGCAAATATAAGGATTATTATTAATAAGAAAACATATTAATCATTATTAAATGTTAGGATTATTATTATGAATATTATTATTTTACATCACAAATTACATCATAATTTATACTAAATTATTGTACTATAATTTATACTAAATTATTCTTGTCAATGTTTCAGGTTTTGCTGATCTACGCCTTCAATAACAAAGCTGTCACTGTGATTAGTCTCAAGACTTGCCGAGTGCCTCATGTTAACGCTGGTCAGAAATGGATTCCTCTACATGGGTAAATTAATATATTAGACTATTTTCATTTATTTCTTTTAATAAATTAAATCAAATGCAAGGATTATTATTGTTATGAATATTTTTCTTGTAATGTTACTGTAGTAGAAAGAAAATAATCTTAAAAGATGCAGAGTTTGTTGCCACATTGTACAATGCTACCTGATTGCAACCATAAATGTGAAATATGCTCAATGTATAACAAGTTGTGTAGTTTGACTCAGTTGATGACATTCATGCCTGAGTCAGAAAGTGAGTCCTGTAGCTCAGTGGTTAGAGCAAGCGAGAGACCAGGGTTCGATTCTCGGGCAGAGCAAAGCCATAGGCAAGTTTCCTTACTCCACACACCTCTGTTTACCAGCAGTGAGTAGGAACCGGTTGTTAGTTGATTGCCGGGTCACTTTTCCTGGTGTAATAATCCAAACTTATTATAAACACGAACATATGAGAACATAAGAATTTGCTGACGAAAGAAGATCAAGGTCCATGCAGTTCACTTTCCACCATCCTGGCCGTCGCTTTGCATATTGTGTCCCAAACTATACACTGTATCCCCAGATATTATTTCTTCGCAGAAACCTTTCTAAGATTTTCTGAAACAAACAACACTTTCTGTCCCATCTTCTCCCGAGGAAATCTGTTCCATACGTTTACTACTCACTCACTGAAACATTTGATTGCAGTATTAGAAGTTCAGACAACTTTGAACTTGTTATATTTTCTACAAATAGCTGTTATGAAGGTATTTAATTGTCAGAGACGTGTGAATAATGTATTAATTGCCTGTTTCCATGTCTGTTTAGACTACTGTTGCTGCATGAGAAACTGTCTGAATTAAGACAACAAGCTGAGGCCTTGTTACAAGTGAGAGAAAAAACATCTTCAGAAAGTCCAGTGCATTTTGGTAGCTCAGAGAAACGTTTGGGTTCTGCAACCAAGACTGAAGCATTAAGTGAAAAATCCCGTAAAATCCAGCAGCTCGAGGTACGTCAGGTCCCCTCGCCGGCTCTGAACCACTCCAGAAATCATATTGCCCGCTCCTTCCCTTCATTTAGATCACACCCCAAGACCTTCCTCTTCAACTGTGCTTACAAACAAATACACCACCCCCTCGCTCCCCCCGACTGGGGGTCAGGCTCCGCCACTTAAGAGCAACGAGACACTGCCCCGGGGGAAGCCCCTGAATACATTCAAGTTCCGCACAATTAGCAGCGAGAACAGTGTTTTATTCTGTACCAATTGTGTTTGTTTGTTTACTTGTTTCCTTGTGTTTGTTTGTGTTTACTTGTTTCCTTGTGTTTGCTTGTGTTTGTTTGTTTGCTTGTGTTTGTTGGTATTTATTTGTTTGCTTGTGTTTGTTTGTTTGTATTTGTTTCCTTGTGTTTGTTTGTTTGTGTTTATTTGTATTTGTTTGTTTGCTTGTATTCACCCACAAGGATTTGAGATCCTGATTTGTAGGTTTTTAGAGGAACGTGTCGTGTTCGGCAGAGGTCAGGATGGTCTAAAAAGACTTTGGATTTTAGATGTTGAATGTGAACGTGTGGAGCTCGGGCCCGGCCCAGACCCATTGATTGGGGAAATGTCCATCTACGTTCCTGCTCTGAATCACCCCAGAAATCATATTGCATTATACTGCGTACCTTAAGAACTATTGACTTGGACTCGGTTTGAATCCCGTGAACAGAAGATTAGGCGTGTGGAGTAAGGCAACTTGCCCAAGGCAGGGCGAAACCTTGGGCAAGTTTCCTTACTCCACACAGAGCCTAATAATAATCCTCCAAAACCAAAAACAATAATAAATTGGTCATTTTCAATCTACCACTGTTTGTGGGACATTGCTGTGCGCAATTGGCTGCCGCGTTCGCCCACAAATATACAGTCAATTCACTTTACAGTGTGGTCTGTGAAGCGCTTTGGGACGTCCTCCCGACGTGAAAAGCGCTATATCAAATGCAAGGATTATTATTATTATTATTATACACTTATTCACTATCTTCTGCTCATGTGCGATTCAAACAACGACAACAACAAATGACATTTACGAAGCGCCTTTGACATCGAGAGGACGTCCCGAGGGAATTGGATTAACAAAGTAAAGCTGGACATAGTGACATTAGTTATGTAAAAGTCTTCGATGACTGACCACTATTAGGATCATTTACCAGTTCTTAAACAAAAGGTACTCTTTAAACTACACCTTTTTATTGTTTAAGAATGACATTGTTTGTACAGAAAACTCTGACCCACTTGAACTGTCATCCACAAGTAATACATTTAGAATTTCTTCACAGGATATGACGAGACTTTGCTGCACCCAAATTAAACAACTCTTACTTTCAAAAGCAAACATTGAACCAGAACCTGAGGTATGGTGTGAATTTTATTTCTCTCTCCTGTGTGTCGGCCCGGCCCCCGACTTTCATAGTAACACAACAAGTTCAGGATAGACACTGGAATATAAAGCCGCCCCCATACTCACCTGGACTAAACTCCGTCCCCCCATCACCCCAGCCCTCGCCAGGCCCCACTGGCTCCCAATCTCCGACCGGATTGATTTCAAGATCCTGGCACCTCCCTACCTCTCCTCTCTGCTTAACCCTCCAACCCAC